AAATCTCCCGCCTACTTGGGGCGGTACTTGCCTCACTTCTCCCCTCGTGCGAGTGCAAGCAGCCCCGTAGGTACGGTACTGCGCGTTGCCGCACAGCATGGGTCTGTCTGCGTCAGCGCTGCGTCTCCGAAGCATCCATGATCGGCCCTTGAAAGCCCACCCAGCTCTCCGCCCTTCCCGATGGCTTCGAGGAGGAGGGTGACAGCTCCGAAGGCGTTGAGTGAGGCGCTAGCCCCATCGCGGAGATGCATCGCTGTAGCACCAGAGGAGCCATGGCCCTTGGCTCGACGCAAATCGCCAGTCGTGTGGCCCTGGCACCGGGTAGGTCGCTGGGTCTCTGTACAGCCGCCGCGCGTCACGCGAGCCCGTCCCGCACAACCACCCTCAGTCAAAATCATCATCAGCACACCGGGGACCTGTGCTGGCCGCAAACGGCGAGGCAGCCATATTTCCCAATGGTTCCTCCGATCCTCGCAAAGCCACCATTGGCGGACAAAGCTGCTTCGCCAATATGCTCGCTTCGTGGGGCTTCGGCAGTTCAGCATGATTTCGGCTCGGCGTCTCGCCATGAGCTCGATCGCATGAATTCTGGGTGACCCTTGCGTCCTTGCCGCGATGCTGCTGCAGCCCCTGCCATAACAGCCCTCGCGCGGTGCTCCCGCAGCACGCACCGTTGGCGCGCCGGGGCACAGGCAAAGGGCTTCCCGCAGTTGACATGGGAGGTTTGTCTCGCGGGCGGGCAACCTTATCTCGAGACACACGTGGAGCGAGGGGGTGCCGCGAAACCGCGCCGGCTGAGCACCTGTCCGCTGCGGCCAATGCACGGCCAGGCCCTTGCCGACGATCGCCAGGACTGCCGGCGCAACTGCAGTATGGCTCCGGACGCCATGGATGGTGCCCTGGCTTGCTTTGCCCATGTGGTGGCCTCTCGGCGGCCAGCCAAGCATCCAATGGCTCGGGACCAAGCCGCCGCCGGCGCTTTATTCTGTGCTTCGTGCTTGCCCTTGTGCACCAAGACTTGATATCTACGTACGCAGTGACCAACTTAGTAGCATGTCCAACTTCCCCACCTCACCCATCCGGCGCAGTCGCCACAATGGCGCGCCGACGAGGCCACAAATCTGTCCACACTGCGTCGGGTGGCGGCCACCAAGATCTGTGCAACACGAGTACTCGCAGGTACATGGGCACATGCACGGTTGGGTACTAACGTTCGTAGCTTGGAGAACCCATCTGGCCTGAACACCAACGAGCTTGCGCGCAGAGTGTTGTAGACGACACGTGCAAGCCAGGCCTACCTGCGCGTGCAACCATGATGAGGGCAGCCCCTCGCAAGGATTGCCCAGCCCAGTGCTAGGGAATGGGAGCACGTTGCTGGGCCCATGTCTTGCATCGCCGACTGGCTAGCAAGCCGCCTGCGGCTCTTGCACGGAACCCATGCCAAGGACAGAAAAGGTCCCCGTCTTCGCCCCGTGAGAACGTAGACCGTGAGAGTCACCACAATCTCCGTCTCCAGCCCCGTCGTGCCTTGGAGGATGGTGCTGGAGGGGAAACCAGCAAGGGCACACATACTACGAAGTACATTTGAGACGTATGCGGGCGGCTTGGTCAACACGAGGCATTCGTTCTTGGCGAGAGGCATGCTACCTGATGGACGCCATGACGCCCTCGGAGGGACACGAGCGAAAGGGCCCAGGCCGGCGCGGGCAGTCCGTGTTCAAGTAACAATAATAATAAATGCGGATGCCCTTGTGCAGCGCACATCAGGGAGAGCCACGACGTAGGCTGAAAAGGCATCTAGGGATGGACATGCAAGCTGAAAAAAAGCGGGACACTGGCTAGACGACCTTTTTTTCCCCCCCGCCCTTCCTTTCTTTCGGCAACCCTGCGCTGGGATTGCAAGGGGGTGGTCGATGGCCGGTGTTCATACCTGGAATCTAACGGCAGTACCTACCTACTAGGTACCTGGTCAGCAATCCATTGCAGTACCCAAGGTCAGGGAAGCTGGTCCCAGCGCGCGGCCTGCAGGGCCGGCGGGTACCTGCGAGTTCGGAACGGATCCGAGGCTGCACTAAGTACGGCTTGAGCACTTCAGTTATCCCAGGCCGTTCATTTACTGGTACTCTGCACATGGAGTCATATACTACCTTAGTTACCTACAAGGTAGTGTAGGTATTATTGGTAGATACCTAGTACGCAGCGGCCGGGTATGCGGCAAGCCGGGGCGAGCAGCGTCTGGGGCTTCCCCGTGAAGGTCATGGTGATGAAAGGTCTGGCTGGGTAGAACCTGAGTCAAGTCGAGGCAGGAAGAATACGGTGCAGTAGCAGCAAGGAAGCTTCGACTCTCGCACGAGCAGCAGGCATCTGTGCATGCAATGGCGGCGACAGTATGACCAAGCAAAGAAGCATGCCTGATTACAGGGCAGGCACAGGCGAGCCTCGTCGCGCTGGCTGCATCGCGCTCGAGGGGTTTTCCGCTCCGCCCGCGTCCGTCCCTCCCGCCCGCGCCCGCGCCACCGCCGCCCACCGCCGCCCGCTCGCATCCCTGCCAATGGCGGAATTCGGGGGAGGGGGAGGGGTCGGCGGCAGCGGAACGCTGAACCTTGAGCCGCGAACCTCCAGCTGAGGGGGCTTGTTCTGGCGCGAAGCATTCCACGCCTGTGGCTATATCTATCTGTGCAACGCCCTTGGGTACCGTATTCAACTGCACAGCAAGACAGGAAGAGAGGGAGACAGGATTGTATGCAGGCATATCACCGAAGAGAGAGAGGTGCCTGTTTCCAGCGCGGCCTGGCCGGCCATAACGATGGGCGCCAGTCATCGTGAACCCATGCTCGGCTGGAGGCTCCGTCCACCAGACCAGCGGCCGCCGGCATACATGGGGGCAGAAGGTGTTCTGTGCAATTTGTGCGCAGTTGGAGAACCAAGGAAGGCCAGGTAGCCAAGTACCCAGAGGTACTTGACGATGGGCTCTCGGGTCCCGAGGGCGCTACTGCTGGCCTGGTGGATCACAGCAGACGCCCCCCTCCCCCCCTTTTTTGCCCTCTCTTCCTGCTCTCCCAGCCCAGATCCAAGGCGATCGGGTCCCCGGCGCTCGGGCGTCGATCTGTACCAGCTCCAACCCACTGGCCATGGCCTGCGGTGACTACCAGGTAATTACCACGACAGCACTGCACCGCAGGTGAGGATTCCAACTGGGGTTCCATTGCGTGTTGTCTCGAAGAAGTCAGTCCACTGCTAGGTAGGGACCACCAGCTGCTTGCAGCTATGTAGCAGCAAGAGAGGCACATGCCATTGAGCGCGCCTCTCCGAGTTTTGGCAGTCCCTTCCATGTCGCCAACGCCGCCAGGGCTGTCTGCTTCTACGTATAGTACCTAGCAAGTCTGCTTCTACGTACCTAGCAAGTTACTACGCATCTACGCGCCTACCTAGTACCTTACTTAGTTGCATGTTTGACCACATAAGCTACAAAGTACATTGCGCTGCGGGTAGCAGATGCTGCAGGCATGGGGGTGCCCGTCTGATTCGCAACGCTAGCTGCAGCTGCGGATGCAGACGCAGACGCAGACGCAGATCCCGACAGCGGCCGGCCCCCCCCCCCCCTTGCTGATAAAACCAAGATAGCGCAGCGCACGCGCTCTGCGGCGGACGACGACATGCGCTCGAATTAGACCAATGTCCGTACATGCGCATTCACGCATGCCTACATGCGACGTACGTTGGTCAACATTTGATACATACAGAGTTGCCCTGGCCCGAGGAGTGGGCGGCGTGGTGACGGCGGAGAGGGCGGTGGCGGTGGCCGGCCCTTGGGGTCGGCCGTCCTGGCGAATGCGCATGCATGCAAGCCACGCCAGAGCACATTCAATCATTGACTCTCTCGTCGTCCTCGCATGCATAATGGCATGCATAATAGACCGACGACGACATCGGCGGCGACGACTGCGGCCTTGGAGACCGACTGACTGCATGCGGCGCCAGGCTCCTCGCTCGCTCGCTTGTCGTGCAGGTCATTGATGCATAGGTCATGGCATTCCACCATCCGCCTGGCCGCCGGCCTGAATGGACGGGATGCCCACATTCGTAGCACAAACGTATCGAAATGGAGGAACCGGGCTGGAAGCCTCCTCGTGGGCCTTGTCCAGCGGGGTTCGCATCCGGCGCCACTTCCAAGTTGCCTGCAGTTGCTGTCTGTACTGTACGTAGGTACTGCTCGTACGTACTCGTGCGCAGTTGGCCGCCGGCAGTACTACCTACCTTAGGTAGGCAGGCCCAGCAAGCTCAGGCAGCCCAGGCCCGGGGCCCGTCCGTTCTGCCCATGCTTGCCATGCCTGCCCTCCGTCAAGCCTCTGTCCACGCCTGCCTGCATGCTGCCTTTGCCTGCCCCAGTGGTGGACCCCAGCCATGGATGCGATCGTCGACAGCGGTGGGGCTCGGCCGCACTGACCCTGGCCCCCCCGCCTGCGCTTGGACGGAAATGGCAATACTACAAACTCGGCAGCTGCGACTTGCGCTACCTCGACCCTTGACTGCCTTACATGACTGCCTCCCCTGCAAGCCATGCTTGCCATGCTGCGATCCATGTGCTGCCGCAACGTAGCTAGTGCCCTGGGTCCCTGCCAACTGCGGCCTGCGGCATCACCAGGGCACCTCCTCCATGCGACCAAATGGAATCATCCCGGCACCCACGCGTTTCCAGAAAAGAAAGGAAAAGAAAAAGGCAAACAGGAAAAGATGCCCTGCTCTTCAATGGCTTGACTGCCTGTACCTACTTAGGTACTGACCCGGATGAGTTGGTTGACCGCTGTATTCGTACATATGGGCCCTCCTCAGGCGCCTTGATTCTCGTCACTCCCTAGGTAGACCCTGCCTCACAGGCGCCATTCACGAGGTACGTACTTGTCATCGTCGACTCCGCAGATTCTTCCACCATCGCGGAACCTTTTCCAGTGTTATGTCTTATCCTCACGGCGCCCTCGTCATTTCAATCAACTCCGCCCATGTCGCGTATGCTCTCGTATGTGAGCAGACCCGTCCATCCGCCTGCTTATCCGCCGTCTCAGGAGCGCAAATTCGTCCTGGCCCTCCTCTTCTCGTACGAGCTGCTCCGTTCACCACCACCACCACTGGCAAGAAACGGCCTGATTCCCCTCCTGCATACCTCATCCCCTCATCCTGCGCCGCCGTCTCTGCGGCACCGATCCGTGCTCCACTCCGTCCGTGCCGCCACGGTCCCTTCTGTTTCTCGTACGATTCCCCTCCGCCCTAACCGCATCTACCCGTGGCTTCACGCGCGCACAGAGGGCCGCCCGAGGCGCTACCTCGGGTTGCGTTGGCGCGGCCTGGCGGGCCCGTTGCTGGCTTGCTTGCTTGCCCGCTCGCTCCCTGGAGCACGGCCACGGCGTCGGTCGAACAGGCCGTGTTATACAACCTTTCCACCGCGCTTGTCGTCGCTTAACCAGCAACTTCCATGGGGCGAGAGGACAGTGGTGGAGAGAGAGGCAGTCGTCAATGTTCGCCTTGACACACGCGCGCTCTTGAGTCGTCGTCCTCCATATGATGCCGCACGATGAAACGAGTCCTCTCTCCGCGCCCGATGTCGGTAGAGCGCATAAGGGGTTTTGGTACAGCCAAGGGTGCACGACGCAGCAGCGTGGCCGGCTCAATCCGTCCAAGGTTCCTGTAGATGTGCTGGTACGCCGCACGCCGTCACGTCGAGCTCAGGCTAGAGGTCCGGGCGCGGCAATCGATCACGAATGGCCTCTCACGCCCGGTGTATCGAGACATCAGGACGCTCAAGCCCCACCAAAGGAGACTGCCGTGCTTCAGCTCGCCTCACCGCGGAGTCGCCGAGGTCTCTCGTCGTGACCATCTGTCGCAACATCAACGTCCCGGCCCGGATGGGATTGGCCCGACGAGTCCAAGCCGCGCTGTGTCGTCGTCGTCTTCGTCTGCGTCGTGGTTCCGGCATCACGGGCCGCCCAGGCCAACAAGAATCAAGCCGGTCCGCCAGCGTCACATCAACCAAGAGGGACTCGCGGCATGTAGAAGTCGGGTATTTAGTCCTCAAGTGCGTACTTGAGTGCAACCTTGCTTGCGCATGCATGGATCCAGACTCCAGCGGAAAGTCCACCAGCCATTGTGTCCCTTGCCGGGCCATTGGCAATCAGCCCCTGTCTCTCCCCTTTCCCTACCCCGTAATGCTTCGTACAGGCAAGCTTCTTCATGATCCGACCCACCCGACGGGCAATGTCCATGCGTGCACGAAGTACTTCACACGGACAAGAGCGCCCCGTAGGGCAAATAACCTGCCTGAAGGGGCATGTCCGCCCGTATATTAGCCCATGAACCCTCCAGAGGGGTTCCCTCCCTCCTCCCCCCCCCCGGGCGGGGGGGGAGGCACGCGTCTTCGGGGGCCAAATAACCAGGGGGGTCCTCTCGTGAGGTGTGTGGTGTGAGTTTGTTGCTGCCCATCAGGCAATTCTCCAGTTTCACCACCCCCTAGTCGCCATACCGTACTTACTCGCGCGCCTTATTGGGCGGCATCAAAGAACCAAGGCTCATCGCCCGGGCCGTAGACACGACCAGGCACTTGCATCGGAACCGGCACGGCGTCCTTGAAGATGCTCAGATCGGCTGCCGAACCCCCTTTGCGAGCCTCCAGGTTGCCGGGCCCCTGAACCGGGATCACAACACCGCATTCCCAATTTCGAATGTTCACTTTGGGCTTGCCCGACTTCCTGTCCTTGACCACGCGACCCCTGCATGGGCGATCGTCAGCTGAACGCTTGCAGCATTCCGACCTCTCAGCTTCTGACAGGCGTCACCACTTACCAGGCGCTTTCTGACAGGTTCGCACTCCCCACGTATGCCCAGGCGGGCCAAGTGTTTGGGGTCGAGTTTCCGCCAGAGCTTCCCTCCACCTCTTCCCTGCGCACGAATATAGCCTTGCTGTGCATGAGGAGTCCGTCCCGCGTGTTGACACAGTCGCGGACAAGCTCTTTTGGGAAGTCGGGGGAATGCCACCATTTCCGCTGAATGCATATCGTTCCCGCAGCCTGCACACGTTGTACATGACATCGCAGTTAGCCCGATATCACACGGCACTGAGCACCCCGGCCACCTACCCCTTTGCCACCCCTGCTGTCAGATACTGTTTTACTTGTGGGAAAATAGATGCGAAAGCAGTCCTTGAGTTCCTGCGCCGGGCCTAACCGCTTGTCGGTAGGCTTGCGACCGGCTCTCGCGCTATTTGACTTGACATCGTCGCCTGTATCGTGTCAGACAAAGGCCACGGTGGGCAGGATTGGCACACAGAAGGGTGAAGGGTGCCCAACGCCTGCGAGGCCTCAAACGGCGAAGCGGGCAGACTTACCTCGACAAGCACTATACATGGCCTCGACAAGTTCGGACTTGATCGATCCGAGGGATGCACACTGAAGTCAGGCGTCAACATGTCATTCGCATAAATCAAGGTACATAAGAGGCATACTATCATGTCGACTTGAATGTGCCCCTTTGACGCTAACCCGAGCCTGGCGATTGTAGCCGCCAGGCCGCAGTGTCCTGGTCTAGTATTAGACTTGAGGCTGTTTCGGTACTGCGGTATATTGTGGGAGCACGAACCCACACCCTTGAGGGCTTCGTCGGTGTGGCCACCCGGCCTGGGGGCTGTTAGTCTCTCGGTGAAGCCCTTGTTACGGTGCGCAATGGCACTTGCCTGCTGTTGACGAACCCAAGATGGGCCGTTTTCGAGAAATCAAAGCTCGACAGGCTGTCAACCATCTTACTGTCGACTCCCATAGCCTGAAGAAAGTATTTCAGTTGAAGGCTAAACTCCGTTGGCGAGTGATGTGCGGCATCGCCCAGCCGCGGTAGGTCGATAATGAAGACCATCTGCCAGGGACATCAGCGGGTTCGTCGCCTCTCGTATGGGCAGCGGTCCAGGTAGTCCCTACATTCTCCATGACGCCGCTCTCGCCCCAGTCGTATGGCACGAGGTTGCCGGTGGGAACGACGAGACGTAGGTAGTCTTTGTACTTGAGAAGCTGCAACTTGGAGTGCATAGACCCGGGGCCATTCATTGGCGGGAAGCAAAACCTCACACCTGACGGCGCGTTCGCACGCATCTCTCCCTTCTACGTAGTCATTTGTTAGGGCACTTGGTTCGGACACTGCGTATATCCTGCACAACATACCTGCTGCTCGTCTGCAGCGAATGCTGCGAGCATAAGCCTGGTCCTACTCAAGTCCACCTTGGACAGCAGCCACCGCTCGTCCCATTGAAAAGATGACAATATGGCCAGCATCAGTTTGTCCTTTTGCAGAACCTCTTCGATCTTGATATCCTCGCCGGTTCGCGGGTATCCACGCGCCCACGTCCGCTTGACGGCTCCGTCTGGATACGGAACTGGTGGCGGAGGATCGGCCATTCTTGACGCTTCATGTGTCTCTGTGATGGGGTTTTGCTTCGTCTTCTTCTTTGGTGGAGGCACTTCAACGACATCGTCGTCCTCGTCCTCCGCGGCGGGTACCGGCTGGCGACGTTTGGCGCCCAGTCGAGCGAGCCGCTCTGCTTCCATCGCCTTGCGGTCCAGGGCCGTCAAATTGAACGAGCCATCGCTCAGGGCCGTGGTCTGTGGCTTTGCTGGTCCACTGGACGAATATTCGGCCTGGTCCTGTAGTGACAGAGCGATGGCGTAGCGCAGTCTCTCGTCATCGTCGGCATCACTTCCTGGCTTGTCTGGGGTGGTGGCCATGGCTACGCGCCCGAACCTTCCAAGTGGCTCGGCAGCGGTTCTGGACGGCAGACGCAGATGTAGCGGTGTCCAGTAGAGACCAACGCGTCCTGCCTGGCGTGTCGAGAAAGCACGCCGTCGAAGCCAGTTTGTGGTGACGTTTGGTGACACGTGCTCACGTGAGAGCGCGTGCATGCTGTGTGAGGGGGGGTTAGTTGGTAGGTGCTTGGGTGGTTGGTTCTACGTACCTACCCCGGCGCTGCGGTGCGACACGGGCAGTCTAGGGTAGGACGACCTTCAACGGTGGTGTCAAGCGGCCCAGTATTGAGAAGCGAGCTGCTCGGCGCGCACGACGTTAATGCATGGCCATTTCAATCGAACCTTTTGCAGCTTTGGCCAATCTGAGTTTGGCTGTTCCTCTGGTGAGATTGGTGGGGACATGGGTGACAAACAACCACATTCCGCCGTCTCCAGCCCGGGCGCCTACATGCCTATGGATCAATGACGTCTAAGACCCTTCCCCAGCCTACTTGAGGACGCACCCGCCTGCCACCATGGACAACCGCTCTCGCCCCCGTACCAGGCAACGCATGTTTTGTCTCCCGGCACGCACATCAGCTGGCCCGTGACACGATATGGCTTCGCAGAACAACACACGACGACACGTTGTCGTGGTCGGCGGCGGTGCAGCTGGCATGGTGAGTGCAGTATCAAGAGGCCGTCGTCAAACCCGGGCGCGGAACATCAATTCGCAGATGCCGCATGGAGCTTCAGCAAGCTGACGGATATGACAGTCCTGCGCAGCAACCCTCGCCAACAGCCCAGACAAGTTCAAGGTAACCTTGCTGGAGAGGGGCGACGTCGTCGGTGGCCAGGCAACCTCGATACCCCTAAATGAGTCCCGCCACGGAGCTCCTTGGATGAACAATGGGGTGCAGGGAGGGTCCGGGGTAAGAATGTTGCCCTCGAAACGAGGCGTTCCTCCCATTGTACATAGCTGCTGACCGAACAAGATCTTCAAGCACACATTCAACTTCTTCGAGCAGCAGGGCTATCCGGCACAGGAGGTCAAGCTGCAGGTCTCCTTTGGAAAGGGCCAAGACGGCTTCTGGACCAATGTCTTCCCCAGCAAGCTTGTTTCGCAGTATGCTGCCGACATCAAGAAGTTTGGCCTCTTCTTAAAGGTCATCAAGTGGACGATGCCGATACTCGGCCTTATCCCGATATCCATCATGCTGCGCGTCTTCTTCTTCAGCAAGGACTTTGGCGACAAGATGGTGTATCCACTGATTGCGCTGTTCCTCGGGACCGGGAACCAGACAGCCCACGTCCCCTCTGCCATCGTCGAGCGCTTGTTTGATGATCCCAACATGAAGCTCTGGGACTACGACCCAGTCACCTTGCTGCCGAACCTGCCAACCATGTTTACATTTGACAATCTCCACGAGTTCTACGGCACCTGGAGAAAGGATCTGGAACGGCGCAGTGTCGTAATCAGGACCAACACGGAGGTGTCCGAGGTGCTTTCTAGGTCCGGCGGCAAAGTGAAACTCGCAATCAGAGACAACACGACCGGCCAAAAGACCGAGGAGACCTTTGACGAAATGGTGCTCTGCGTGCTTGCCGACGACGGCCTCCGCCTACTCGGCAAGCAAGCAACGTGGCGGGAGAAGATGGTTCTGGGAGGCGCGGCTTTCTACGACGACATTACCGTCACGCACAGCGACAGAAAGTACTTTGACAGACACTACGAAACCCGCTTCCAGCAAAATCTCTGCGCAGAGCCCCAGTCGGAAGCCCAAAAGAAGCAGATTGCCTTCGCCAAAGGAGAATCCGACGAGGTGGAAGAGCGCGGTGGCGGCTTCAAGCCCATGTATTACACCTTCACGTACGGCAGAGACCCGCGCTCCATCGAAATGTCCTTCAACTGCAGCAACTACCAGCACCAGCTCAAGAACGCCAACATCAAGGCCGGCGAAGGAGTGCTCGAGCCGGTCTATCAGACCATCTTCCTCGACAAGAACAGGCAGGATATGTGGACCATTGGCGAGATTGACGAGTCCAAGATCATCAAGCGCAACTGGTGGCACCAGCTCGGTCACAGGTGGCAGCACTACCTACGCGTCGTTCCTGGAATGATGTTTTTGCACGGCAGGAATAGCACCTACTTTGCGGGCTCCTGGACGTTGGTGGTGAGACGCAGCATTCACCAGGAACACGCCTCGGGCAACACGCTGACTTGCGCCATAACAGAATATGCATGAGCTGGCCTGTGTCAGCGGAATAGCGGCCGCGTACCATCTCGGAGCTGACTATGCCAAGTTTGACGACTTTGCCCAGGACTTCTTCGCCAAGTATCTGCTCCTGTCTCATGGCATCGTCTTTTCACGGGAGGAGAGGCGAAGGAACAAGTCCACCTAATGACTTGCCCGGTCGTGGACAACGCACAATCTCCTACGGTACGTAGGTCAACTCGCACGTGTATGACACGGTCCAGTGGCCTGGCGTCCCAGGGGAATCGAGGGGTTCTGGGTGTGTAGTGTCAATTCCGCGGTGTCGTGGGACCCAAAGGGTCCACGACATGTCTGTGTGTAAGGTCTATCCTATGTGATGTCGAACCACCACCCGTGAGCCCTTTCCCAGCGCCGTGTCGAGAAACCACACGGGTATCGTGACGAAAAACCAGGCCAAATACCAGCTGCCAGATGCAGATGCTCGCCTCCCATTCCGCCCGAGCACCGAAACACGAAAAAGGCCACAAGATCCAAATGCCCTTAGAACAGCCGCGACCAGTAGTTGGATTGCAAATCCATCTTCATGTAGCCTTGCCACTGCGCGCCTGTGGCTCATTGCATCGTACAGAGATAGTGCATGGCGCTGCCGTCTGCTGCCTTGCTCCCATGAACATGCCAAAAATCTTAGCCCGGCAAGCGGCAAGAGCCCCATGCCAGTGCCCCAAAATCGAGTCGTGCACGCCTTCGAATCACCGAGAAAGAAGCCTACTGTCAGGCGATGAGGCGTCAGGGGCCATATCCAACTTCAAAATCCTCCGCAAGTCGTTTTCCAGTGCCTGAAAATCGCCGGTCCGGGAGGTGTCAGGGTTCCCCGATGGGGCGGATAGAGCAGGTGCCGGTTCCCAGTCGCGTGGACTAGCCTGAGTCCCGGTAGCAGACGAAGGAGCAGCCGTGTGGGTTGATTCCTGAGGCTTGTTGCCCCCGAATAGAAACTTCTTCAAAGCCTCGGTCGGGTCGTCAGAAGGCTGTTGTGGTCCCGCGGTATCCTGGCGCCCTGGTTGTGACTGAGGCCGAGACGAGCTGGATCGAGCAGCCTTGATCCGTTCCTGGTATGGGGTCGAAAAAGCTGGGCCCATTGGGCGGCCTGGTGTGCCGTCAAGTTCGGAGCTATGTATGCCGCCGAATGAATGTTTCGCAAAGCCCAGTCGGCTCGCCGGCGGTGCCGATGACGCAATTGACGCATTTGGGTCGCGTACACGTGGACGTGGGGGAGAGGTGTTGTGCGGGTAGTCGGAGGCGGGGTCCAGCGGCGCTCCTTGATGTAATCTTTGTTTCTCTTCCCGATGGGCGCGGAACATGAAGTCCAAGGGAGACTCGTGGCTTTGGGGCACAGAAGAAGGGCGGAACGGAGTGGGCGCGTCGTTGTCGGTGGCTGGCGGAGAGGGCTGCTGGGCAACCTCTGCCGCATCGGTGTGGACCGGTGAACGGTTCGACACCTTTGAAAGAAAGCTCGGTATCGGAAGAGCTGAGGGGGCTGGAGACGCGTGGAAGGTAGCACCGGCAAAAGCAGCGCTGCTGCTCGTCTTGGTCGACATGGACGATTGAGGGGACGTTCGCCGCCTGCGCTGAGCTGATTCGGGAGACGTATGAGGGTTCTTGCCCTTTTGCTTGTTCCTGTTCCGCTGCCTCGAGCCGGGATGCGCGGCGCTGGACTCTACGGGAACTGGTGAGCCCGAGGGAGCCTTGCTGGGTGTTGACGGTGCGTGGGCATGCTGCTGATGCTGGCGCGAGACGTCGAAAGTGGCGGCATCATTCTCTGACGCGTATGCCTTTTGGGCACCACCACCAGCGCGGCCACCCGCGCGGCCATTTCTCCGGCGTGCTGGAGTTGTCTTGGGGTTTGTGTTGTCGGCCATTGCGCGGAGTAGGTAGCTGCGACAGCCTGACGAAGGAAGGGCGTTTGCGATAGCTCGAGAGGGTGGCAGAGGGGTTACGGCTTCGGTAAGTCGGTCGACTCGGGCAGGAAGCCGACGCAGAAAAGAGGCGTTTCTGGGGTCCCGTCTGTGCCCAGATATCAAGATTGAGAGGAGAAGACAAGGGCGCAGGGGATGAAGGAGCTGCCGTTATCCGTTGCTTGTGGCGGACACGTTTCTTGACTCGCCGGCGCGCTTGGCTAGAGTTGAGCAGACGGTTTGCCGCTGGTGACTGTGCAGGCGGGGATGGCAGGCGGGCGGGGACCATCGAGGCGATGACGGAAATCGAGCGACGCGGCTCTGGCCCGTTGGGTCACCTGCGTTGCACCATTGGAGCGTACAAGTATCTCCGCCGTTGCCATGGGATGGCCTTGCCCGCAACACGGAAGGGCACAGTGACTTGCGGCTGGAGCGGGGCGACTGAGCTGGAATGGGGCAGCGCCCGGCGCACCACCTCGCCTTCCATCCAGTGGATTGCCACCCCGCCGGGAAGCAGCTTATGTACCTCCGTCCAGAGCAACCCCACCTAGGTACTAAGTTAGTAGGTAGCAGCCTTCTGAAGGCCGCACTCTCACTGTCTCTTGCAGATAAGGTATCTGCTTACAAGGTACCTCTGCCCACGCCGCGCCGCGCCGGCTACGAAAGGTACCTGAGCTCTTTCGTACTACCGCACCTCCATGCCTGTCGCTGACTGTGAGGTGGGAAGCTCTCAGCAGCGGTCACCAGCCCAGGCTCCAGCGTCACCCCCGCGTCTTCCGTTGCAACAACAGCCCCGAACGTGTGCCGGCGGTCGCATGATACCTACAGCCACCGAAGCAGCTCAGACACTTCGATTTGCGCGTCCGACATCCGGGTTGAGCCGCCTCGACCGCTTCCGCGCCATCAAGGTTCGTCCGTCCGTTCGAAGTAAAACACAGCCTTGCCGCCTTCGACTCTCCACGCACTCGGCCTCGTCATCTTTCTAGTTCAGGCGTCTTCCTGCTAACAGCCTCCGTGCCTAGTCCAGCCGCCCGCCGTCAAGTCATCGCTGGCGCTTTGTCCCGGACGACCTGGGCGACCCTCGCCTCCGTCTATTTCGCCTTCCGACCACGCCTTGTTGAACTCCGCCCCAGATACCCGGCACGGCTGTCGCCATGGCTGACGTCGAAATGAGCGATGCCCCTGTTTCTGCGAAGAAGGCCGAGGGGAAGAAGAAGTTCGAGGTGAAGAAGGTAGGGCTGCACACTCCAGCGGTGAGCTACGTTGGCCACCCCGATATTGACGTTTGGACAGTGGAACGCCGTTGCCCTGTGGGCATGGGACATTGTGGTGGATAATTGTGCCATCTGCAGAAACCACATCATGGACCTATGTGAGCTCTATCCCGGCCCAGGGCCCTCCCTTGCCTCGGGCCGTTTCCCTTGGCCGACTGATCACTGACGGGCCGCAATATCAGGTATCGAATGTCAGGCCAACCAGGCCTCGGCCACAAGCGAAGAATGTACTGTGGCTTGGGGCATCTGCAACGTGAGTGCTTTTTGCGTGACTGGGCAGCTCGTGGTGTCGACAGCAGCTGACACGCCGATAGCATGCCTTCCATTTCCACTGCATTTCGAGATGGCTCAAGGCCAGATCTGTCTGTCCACTGGACAACAGAGACTGGGAGTTCCAGAAATACGGCCGCTGATCAACCACGCGCGCTGCAGGGGCGATGCGCATCAAGATCCACGGCGACGCTGCTCTTTCGGTAAAGCTCGAGATGGGAAGCTTCCGTGGATCTTGCCTGGACTATGGTCTCGAGCCGGATGTCACAGTAGGAGGGCGCAAACACACATGGCCACGGTCATGATTGGTCCAGGTTCTCTTCGGGCACCTCGGATATCTTTACACAAAAGTCGCCTGGCCTACTGCCAACCGGAGCCCGCTGGCAGCCATTTCACGGGATTCTTGTTGTAGACAGGCCAGGGTGGCACAACCGCGAGGAACGTGAGAGCCGTACCTCCCAACCCAATATAAACAGCCTTCTGAATGTCCTGATACAAGTAGCCGACGTTGAATGCCACTAGCTGTATTGGCGACTAGGTTAGCGAACTTTTCGCGTTGTAGAGATGGCCAAGAGGAATCCAGCCATACCGCAGAGAGGGCCAACAGAAGCGTAGCGTAGCCCTCGGCGCGTCTTTGGCCCTCAAAGTCCTGGGCACCAAGTTGTCCATTAGCAAATGCAGAAGATGAGGGGGAGCACAGTCCGTGGTAAGGAAACCGCCGGCCCGGGAGAGTTCGTACGATTTGGCCCTCTACCAGATCCCGCGCCTTGTCCAGAATTTCCTCGGCCATTGCGCTTCGCGACGCGGTCGTTTGAGCGTGTACGAGTTTCGGAGAGATAGCAAAGCACGGCAGACGGCAGCTTGAGGCGACAGGGGCTCTCCGGTGGTCGTAGATCAGGAACACAGTGCGTTCCCAAATACAAGAGGTGCTGCCAATGCAGGGCGCTGTGTGAGGTAAGCCGACTGAAGTTGAGGACGGCTTTGGGGACAATGGTGGTAACGTCTCACCATGGTGGACTCGAAGGGACCACGTTGAGCAATTGGGACGTGCTTGGTGCTGCGACTTGGGGTGCCGAGCGAGTACGTACCTCCAGCTGGCACCGCACCAACTGCTGTGGTTCGCTGAAGTACCTGCCCGCCCACTGCATCGCCCACTGGGTAGGCGTGCCCGGCATACTGCCACTGAGTGCCGCTGAAACTGGGGTGACCCCCGGGCCATGCGGGCACCTCAGCTACCTAGGTACCTATGCTCCGCCCCCCCCCCAGGGGCGCGTTCTTTCCACCAGCATTTGGTGGCAGCTTCAGCCTGAACCCCACCGGAGCGGCTTGAGGCGATCAGGGAGGCGTAAATCGTACATGGGACACGGGGGCCCGAGGGCATCATCATCGAATGGCTGGGCCATGCCACCTTGCAGACTGACAGACCTGGACCTTCCAACGCCGGGCCAAAGGCACGGCCAGGGCAGATTGTCAGGTACAGAGCAAGAGTACGAGCGAGCTGTGCCGCTCCAGACCAAGTCGCGGCTCCTGCTCTGCGCAACGAACGAGTTGGTCGCTCCCAGCACCGACGGGCGTATGACGGGTACATTTGGTAGATTTCAAGCAAGGTAACGACTTTACACGAGGTGCGGCAGGGATGCACCGCACTGCATCTGCACCTACTGCACCCCGCCTGGCTCTGACTGCAAGTGTCATGTCATTATTTACTACGTTACTATGCGCGCAGGTGCGTTGCCTGCCAGCTGGGAGCGTCCCGTCGACGACGGCACCTGTGTGCGGATCGTGCTGCGGACTAACCCAGCATCCTGGGCACCTACCTGGTAGCATGGTGGAAGACGAGCATTGCCATGGAACGTACTAACATACCTAGGTAGAGAGAACTTCTTCCGACGCCGTCGTGGCTCCCTCCCGTCCACCGTCTCTCGCCACGGTCGGCTCGGCGAGTCCCTGGTTCGCACTGGCAACATTAGAGTTTTCTTGGGCGAGGTACGGGCTACAGTAGGGTACCTCCTAGGTCGGGCACCTCTACGTACCACTGCCCGCCAAGGCACGGGCACTGACTGGCCTGAAAGGGTCCCCCGCGGCACAGAAATCTCTGGCAAAACGGGCCGGCCGATGACTGCCCCAGTGGGAGTGGCGGGCCAGTCAGGTTGCCCCGATGCAGAACCTGACGGCTCTGTCCAATACAAAATTTACCGCTTTTTGCATCACAGCAAACCTCTTCCCTACCGGCACATCCCGCCTCCTCTCCGCGGTTCTCACTCAACCAGCTCCGCGTCTGCATTGAGCGCCCACACACTTAATCGCTCATATTCGCTGCCTCCTGCTGTTGAGCACGCGACGCCAGCCTTTGCCGTTGCCATCGTCCCTTTCTTCTGCTGCTCGCGTACAGCCAGCGACCAGTTCGTCCTCGGCCCGTCGACGTCGACGTCACTTCCAGCCAGCGACCTCGCACCACCCACTCGACGTCACTCCTCTTGAGCGATATACGCCGCCATCGACCAGTCCGCCGCCCGCCTCGCCCGTACCCGCGCCTCGAGTTCCCCTCGATCCCTCCGAAAACCTTCAAGTTGGCTCAACTAGCCGCTGCCCGCGTCGCCGCCTCTTCGCTCCTCGGGCCCGGTCTCTGGGTCTACAGCGGAGTCAACAGCAAGCCCCCATAACTGGGGTGAGCCAGCACGCCGCATACTCGCAATTTTGTTCGCCCTCGGCCTCCCCGACCTCCCGACAGGTTCGTCTGCAACTCCCCATCGGAGTGCCGAACCCGTTTCGACCCCTAGTTTTGCTTCCAGTCAGCAGCACTCGGCGCGCAGCCGCCGCGCCGGGTGCACACGCCAGACCGACCATTCGCCATCGGCAGATGGTTCACCGTCACCGGCACACCGAGCTATGACCCCCTCGCCTCGAGCCGTCTATTCGTGCTTGAGCAGCCAGTAGACCTTCGGCCCACGCGGCAGACTTGCATAAAGGCACACCGTCGATCTCCTTCAGTTGCCCACCATGTCCGACCACGACGGCATGGTCTCCGACCCCGGCTATGGCACGCCGGTGCCCGAACTCGATGATCACCGCCACCAGTCGTCCTCTTCTCAGCGCGCCGAGCGCCCGCGCAGAGGAACCTTCGACTCCCTCTACGGGACAACTCAGCTGGAACCGAACCCCGGGACCCCGGCCATTCGTGTTCGTGACTTCGAAGAAGCAATAATCGACGAGGATGGCCTCGAGGTGCCGGCGTTTACTCGCCACGGGCGTCGTCCCACCGTCGACACCTGCGACGCAAGATCTGTCTCTCCGCCAAACTCGGTAAAGGCCTTTGCCCAGGCTCGCCGCAGGGAGCGGGAGATGTCCTTCTCGGAGCCCAAGGGTGAGCAAGAAGACGCGCTCGGACGGTCCATGTCCATCTCCAGCCGCCGCAGCCATCGTAGCCGGCCCCGCACCATTGATGACTCTGGGAGCATCCTAACCAACAAAGAAGCCGAGGAAGACGTCTGCTTCCCCCTCCAGCCCGGTCACCGCAATCATGAGCTTCGGATTGATTTCGACTATCTCGAAGGATTCATCAACACGGAGCGTGCTGCCCGCGTCTGCAGCCACGAGACGGCCCCTCCGTACCCCTTTGAAGACATGCGAACCCGATCTGCGGATAGTCGCCCGACACAATTGGCCACCATTGACGGTGACATTGTCGACATGCCGTCTGACGAGTCCATGACAAACGAGAAGGAAACGTCCGAAGCGCACGTCAAGCCCGTACAGCCTAATCATTTGGACAAGAACCGTTTCAGCTTCTTCTCGTCTGCCTGGGAGTCGACCATCCACGCTGCTGAATTCGGCGACCTGGTGCTGCCAGGCGAGGACATTCGCGGCCTTTTCGAGCTTCCAAAGGACGAAGAACATGGCGTCTGGTGGCTCAACGTCAACCGGGCTACCAAGGAAGAAGTCCACGGAATTTGCAAAGCTTTCGGAGTTCATCCCTTGACCATTGAGGATATCATCACGCAAGAGGCTCGAGAGAAGATTGAGCTGTTTCCCGCTTACTACTTTGCCTGTTTCCGATCGTTCAATGTCGTCGAAGAACCGGACGGCATCGAGTATGAACCTTTCAACATCTATGTGCTCGTGTTCCGGGAGGGGACCTTGAGCTTCAGCTTTGCACCCAACTCGCACGCCTCTCAAGTGCGGAAGAGGATCACGGCGCTCAAGGAATACGTGTCTCTCAGCAGCGATTGGATTTGCTACGCCCTCATGTACGCATCCCCGTTTACTAAACCCGCGAGCCCCTGGAGAGTGCTAACCGGCGAGGAATGCAGTGATAATATCGTCGATTGTTTTGCCCCGGTCATCAGAACCATCGAGCTAGAGGCGGATGCCATTGAGGACGAGGTGTTCATCATGCGACAAGACGACTCCAGCTCCTTCCTCCGCTCGATTGGTCGAGTGCGCAAGAACTGCATGGCCTTGCTGCGACTTCTTGGCGGCAAAGCCGACGTCCTCCGTGGGTTCACGAAGCGGTGCAACGAGAACTACCAGGTGACACCTCACATGGACATTGGAATGTACCTTGGCGACATCCAAGACCACGTCGTGACCATGGCGACCAACCTGGGGCACTTTGAGAAGATGCTTTCGCGGGCACACAGCAACTATCTCGCGACTCTGTCCATTAACAGCATTTCCCAAGGCACAGACACGAACCGCGTTCTGAGCAAGATCACGTTCTTGGCATCCATTCTGGTGCCCCTGAACTTGATCAGCGGTGTGTTTGGAATGAACGTGTCGGTACCGTGGCAGGATAGCGGTCGACTTGAGCCATTCTTCGGCATCATTGGAACCATGGCCTTGGTCTGTTGTCTGTTCTTGGGCTTGGCGCGTTGGAAGCGCTACATCTGAGCGGATCCAATGCGAGTCACACAGTCAGCTGTAGCCAGCCAGATGCGTGGCCTGGCGGAGATATTGCGTGTTTGGTTCTCGGCAGTACATAGGTGCTTCTCGAAAGCTCGGCGTCGGCGGCTTTCTGTCCAGCTCAACGTACGGGATGATAGATGTGGAGAGGGCGGCAGCCTTTGCGCGAAGCGACGGGCGGTGTTTTATACAATTGCTATGGCCAGCGTATAATGAAAGAGCTAGTTTGAAGCTGAATGATACTTTGTAGCACGACCAGACTCAAAACGTGTGTCCGTCATGAGCTGTCCAAGAAATCGCGAGGCGGCCATGTGTTGCGAGCATCCTGGTGGGTGGCTGGTGTTCCACAGTCCAAGAAGAAGTGGGACCGGGACGACTGCCCATTCGCCAACCCGGACTGCGATCCAAAACTGTTAATTGAGGCGAGGCGAGCTGCGCTTGACGGAAATCCTCAAAACCCATCGGCGTAACCTCTTCTTTGCCTCGACACCAATCCAACGCGCATCCATCTACCAAAAAAGAGCCGCAGGATAACACAGAGTGCCCGCGCGCCCCTTCCCAGCAGCACTACTCCTCCTCACCGTCCAGCCCGCCAACATGAACGCCGCACAGACGGGCGTCGAGAACCTCGACCTCGAGAAGCTCAACGACAAGGACAAGGGCGAGCTCCGCCAGTTCCTCGCCAACGAGCAGCAGCGATCGCAGATTCAATCCCGTGAGTTCCAGCCACCGTCAATGCCTCCCCAGAGGACAGCGGCAGCCAAGGGTCACATCAACGAAACACCCTACTGCCCGCTCACGCCCGGGGAATCCGATTGCTGACTTGGCAAATCCAAATGCAGAAACACACAACCTGACCCAGATCTGCTGGAACAAGTGCGTCACCGGCAGCATCAAGAACGCCAAGCTCGACCGCTCCGAGGAGGGCTGCCTGGCCAACTGCGTTGACCGATTCCTCGACATGAACTTCCTCACGATGAAGCACCTCAATAACATGCGGTCTTCTTGAGCTGTCAGGCAATGAATTTGCGACGTCGATGTACTGTACAATATACGGTCTGCGGGGCGACAATAGACATGATATGGCTACCTGATGCATGGCGTTTTCGTCACAATGGGGCAAAGTATGGGCTCGCATACAAAACGTACAGCACCGTCAGGAGGAGGGGGGTTGGTAACATAGCACACAAAGATCGAGGTAGTAGGGCCTCTAGACACCTGGACATTCTCAGAAATAGCACTCATTCACATGGAACAATAGTCGCATGGTTGTGCGGTTGAGGATCGGCTGTCTTGACTTCATCATCCATTTGCATTGTAAATGACATGCTTCAAGTGCGCCTTTTAGTTTCCCGATGCCCGTGCTTTGCATTCAAGACCAGACCGACCCGCAATGAAAAGGAAATTAGACTCCTCCATCACTCAACCACTCTAAACCAGGGACAGCTTGTTGGCGGCGATGTCGAGGGCATCGACATCGGGCGTCAGGCGGGCGTAGGCCTTCTTGGAGCCGTCGGGGCTGCAACGCATTCTGTCAGTACATGCAAGGAAAATGCATAATGGAGCGAGGAGTGCAACATACCGGATGAGGGTGTTGATCTTGACGGTGTCGATGTCGTAGAGCTTCTTCAGGGCCTGCTTGATCTGGGCCTTGTTGGCCTTGACGTCGACGATGAAGACCAGGGTGTTGTTCTCTTCCATCTTCTTCATGGCGCTCTCGGTGTTGAGAGGGTGGATGACGATCTTGTGCTCATCGAGGCGAGGCAGGTGAGGGATCGACTTGCGCGGGTACTTGGGAGCGCGGGAGACCACCAGAGTCTTGGGGCGGTGGAACGAGGTGCTCAACCGGACCTTGCGCTGCTTGTGGGAGTGCGACTGTTGGACACGAAGCCGGCCAGGTCAGCGACTGCCATTCCGACAAGCCGGCGCAACGGGGAGGGGGAGACATCTTGGGCATCATGAGCAAACTTACACCCTTGAGCGCGGCCTTGGCAGCAGCGTTGGCCTGCTTGGAGCCCTTGGGGGCGGCTATGGAAAGAGAGACGCATCAGCAATCGCTCTTATTCAGAACTCGCAAAGTCTGCTGCTGCATGATGCATTGGACCGAGTGGTATCATTGTCGGTTCGGTGGTCGTCGGGCGCAATCTTGCTTCGCAGCTGAGGAGGTTTTGCTTTGGCTTGGGAGCCCGGAGGGGGGATAGTCCTCCTGTTCATGGTATGTCTTCATCCCGTACCTTTCTTGTTGTCCTTGCCGGCGGCCATTGTGTCGATGTCGTCTGCACACGAGGTCGGAGTTGTGCTTCGGAATGGGAGTGACGGTGAAGAAAGTCGGCAAGCCAGCGGATGGTTTTTTTGGGCGCTGTGGGCGAAATTTCCGCTTAGGGTTCTGTGGGTGCGGCTCCATCTTTTCGCTCTAGTCGCACGATACTATTGGGTGAGAAGAGACTCTTGTGGTCACGTGGCAAAATTTCGGTCTCGCTGCCACTTTGGGCCACTGCAGAGGAGTGGGGAGCCGGCAAGGCAAGACGCTAGGCGAGAAGTCGCGTACTGTGACTAGGTGTGGATGAGACCCCAATACTTCAACTACGTACTCAGCATGAGCATGCCAGTAGTTCAGTCAGTTCGGCCCAGTGGCCCATTCCGTACCTCCTCGGGCATTTTAGGAGCGGACTACGACTATACATCAACAGCCCTTGGCGCGTTCGCCGGCGCAAGAACTGTCAATCGGACTTGCCACATTCTGGCTGTATGAGCTTTCACGAGCCAAGTATCACCAGGAGACAGCCTTGCTACGCGACTCTGGAGCTTGGTCTGGCCAAGCTATGATGAATCTGACAGACCCCCGAGGTTGTTCGTCCTTAAATGGCATTCAGCGGTCTGTGGTACTGTGAGAGCGCGCAGCTACGCCACCTAGGCAAGGTCTCGACCTCAACTTAAGCGTCATCATGGTTGCCAAGAAGAAATCATCGCTCAAAAGCCTCCAGGCAGGCCGTCCACCCACGGCCAGGTCTGGTCGATCCATGTCCCGCAAAGCCAGCCGAACCCTCATCAATACGCACCACCAGCTGGAGAAGAGACGTCGACAAGCCGCAGCTACGGGAGACGATAAGGCAGAGGCTGCCATTGCCGCCGAGATTGCCTCTCTCGGCGGCCTGGGCCACTACCAGCAAGCGAGCCTTCAGGGGCAAAGCCTCGACCGCGGCGGTGACACGTCCAAGGTCCTGCTCGAGTGGCTATCCACCAAGGAGGTGGCCACAGGGGGACCGCGGCTCAAGATGTTGGAGGTTGGAGCGCTGAGCACCCGCAATGCTTGCTCACGAAGCGGACTCTTCGACATGGTACACATCGATTTAAACAGCCAAGAGCAAGGGATCCTCGAGCAGGACTTCATGGAACGGCCCCTGCCGGCAAGCGACACGGACAAGTTCGACATCATATCCCTTAGCCTCGTGCTTAACTTTGTGCCAGAGGCAGAAGGCCGCGGCCAGATGCTTTTGCGAACGCTTTCGTTCCTACGCGAGCAAAAAGCAGCAAGCCAGGGCCCGTTCCCGTTCCCGGCGCTCTTCTTGGTCCTGCCTAGGAGCTGTCTGGACAACTCGCGGTACATGACGCAATCACGCCTCGAGGAGCTCATGGGGGACCTGTGTTATCAGCGCGTCCACATAAAGATGACCCAAAAGCTGGCCTACAGTCTATGGCACAACACTCGGCTTCTTCCATCGACGAAGATCGAATTCACTAAGCGGGAAGTGAACCCAGGCAGGACAAGGAACAACTTCGTCATAACTCTACAACACCGCGCCAACCAGTGAACGACATGGACAGAAACAACCATCCCACAACCCCGAGCAATGCCCGAACAGCGAACACCGCAATTAGCACCGCTAATTTGATAGACCGTTGGCCTCCAGCACAAGGTATCAGATGGAGTGCCCAACGGTTCTGCGTCCTCTGGCTCTGGCGAGCATCGCTGTGATGGGCGTTTTACGAACCATGACTTACATTGGTCCCGGGCGCCGGCAAGTCTATACGACAGCACCTTGCGCCATTCGCGAGGATTTGACGGCGTGGCTCTTGTTGTCGAGGTAGTCACGCCGACAACGGCAAGGCCGTCTTCCTCGCTGGTCCAGGCAAGCCCGCCGAACAACTCCACATCAATGAGGAAGAATATCGGCTCGAAACGAGCCCGCTAGCGAAGCTTCTCTAGAGCGTGTAGTGAAGCGCGAATGCGGTCATCGGACTCAGGACTAAAGTCGGGAATGGCAAACTGAGCCAGCTGGTCGTCCGACGGGTACGGGGCGTTTCCGGGACGCGTGACGGGCAGGCTCCGCATCCCGGAGGCCATCGCCGCTCTGACCTCTTTGAGGTTGTCGCTCAAGAATAGCCAGCGGGCAGGGGCAATATCTGGGTGGCTGGCGAGGATAGTGGCATAACTGCCGGGCTCCGTCTTGGGGCCGGCATTGACAGTGTCGAAATACTCAGAGATGAGGGGGGTGAGGTCTTGGGGGCTGGCATTCGTATGGGCAAAGAGTAGCTTCTGGGCCGGGACTGAGCCGGACGAATAGATGATGATTCTCTTGCCGAGGGCGTGAGCTGCAATGATGAGAGGAGCCACGTCCGGGAAGAGTGGCGCCTTTATCTCGCCAGACTCGTAGCCTTGCTTCCACAGGTGACCCTGGAGTGCTTTCAGATACGGTGCCTTGACGTCTCGCGAGACCAGATCGCGAACATGTGCTTCCAGGGCAACTCGGACATTGCGATACTCCGGCGGGAAGGCATCACGGTAGTGCGCAAAAATCGGGCTGTCCCAGTTCTGGTCGAGGTGGCCTGGCAGCGCATCTAGCGCGTATGGAAACTAGATGGCGGTGGGATCAGCATTTCAGCTCAGTTGATAGACGCATTGGTTGCTTGCCCGGTGGCAAGACATGGCCGAGTGTGCGAGGAATCCCGTCGGGTATGGCTGCAGCAGCACAGCTTCGAGGCCCAATGGGGATGCGGGAGACGACGAGACAGGGCCGCCACCGCCAAACAACGGGACGAACTCACGAGAACATCATGGACGAATGAGATGGAGCAGACGGTCCCCTCTGCGCATCGGAGACGGTTCGATTAGCATGAGACTCTCTCTCGTCGGCAACAAGGCTGGCTGGTCCGGGCCGCGACGTACCAATGTCGAAGACCAAGACTTCAAAGTCGGACAATGCGGGCGTCACCGCCATGGCTCTTCAGCCGGGCTGGCTCCCCCTTAATCTCCGTTGAAAACTTTCGATGCGCAGACGCCGGGACGGCGGCCTTGCTTGTGAGGCGGTGAAGACAGTTCGTCGTCGATGAAGATTTTTTCTGCTTCTCAATGCCCCTGTCGCCAGGCCCTGATCCGTTCTCTGCGTCGCGTCGCGTCTCCTTGGTGGTGAGCGTGTCAGTGGACTTTTTTGCCCCTCCCGTCGTGAGGCTGCCATGTTGCGGGCTAGTCAGCCAAGTCCTATGCAGTCGTGCAGTAGCGGGCGCACACCAGCTGACCCGCCCCTGGGCCTTGGGCCTGTTTTGGTATAGGGTAGTGGATGGCGTCCTGCATCATGCACCTGCGCAATGGCGGTCAGCAAGCAGCTCCGGATGAAGCCAACGAACAACAGACGACAGAGGGAACCAGCACGGGCAAGCGCCCGGCGGGACGCAGGAGAGACCGTTTTGGACGGCTGGTCGAAATTGGGCACTGCTTGAATCCAATGGGTCCAACGAATATGGTGATGGCTGCACGAATTGTCCGGGCGCTAGGTTGATACTCCGCAGAAGCAGATGCAGCGACATTTGGTAGGGTCATTTTGGCAACGCACACAGTACGGCACTGTATGCAATGCACCCAAGAGCGTGGTTGGGTAAAGATAGGCTGCTGGCAAGGAGACAGGCGTAGTCCTCCGTGGGAGTTGGGTCGTCGCTCCTTGTCCCTCGCCGGCATCTCCACGACGGCCGTGCCGAGGCCACTCTATATCAGACGCCATCGCGTATCAGCCAGCGGCCTTGCTTACTACGAGGGAGAGCGCATGTGCTTATCAGCCCCGCGGCCAAGATAGATCGTCATCGGCGTGACGGCAATGGCAACCGCATGTGGGCTTGGTTCGCATCATCGAGAAGACGAGACGCGCGACCTCGGAACTACGCGGATACATTGTCGTACAGGCACACATACTGCCTCGTACAGTACAGTACATACGTGGCCATGGGCGACGACTCGACGACCAGCCGCCCGACTGCAGCGGCTGCATCATCTCCACCAACCGACGATGTGTCGGCTCACGGAGGAGCTTGGACAATGGCTGCCCGCATGCCGGCGAGCGGGAGGCGATGCCGCCCAGCCTGTTACAGGACCGGGGGGAGTTTACCGTGGAGGCACTGGCCTGGCCGTCGTGCATGGGCCACCACAGGACATGGTGGCCATGGGCCAATCCTGCTCGAGGGCTTGCCATGTTGTATCCGTAACAAGGCCCCATCCCTGCCTATGTGAGGACATGCGTGAGGGTGAGGTGAGCCCGCCGCTGTGATCGACCTGTGCGAACCAAGTACTGCAGTACTGCCTGCAGGTGTGTCCGTGTATGTGTGTGTGTGTGTGCGCGTGTGCGTCTGTGTGCGTGTTTGTATGCGCGCGACACGTCCTTGCTGATCGTTGCGATGCCATGTCACGCCACGACGCCGTTGTCCAGGTATCCCAGAGCCCCCCCATCTCATCATCCGCGCACGTTGCCCTGTTGACGGAGTGAGTTGGATGCCATGCCTCGACACCTCGATCCACATGCTTCGAGGGCAGTATGAATCTGTCACTGGCGCAGGGAGCAATCGACGGACGTGAAGGAAAGCACGGGGCTCCCCGCCGTGACGGCAGGCTACCGAGCCCTGCTCGAGAGGAGGCATCATCTCCGTCTCAATCAATTCGTTTGCCGCCGCCGCCGCCGTCGTCACCCACAAGCACCGGTATCCTTTGTGCATGGGCATCAATCGCCTGATACCTCGTGCCGCCAGCGTTGTAGGGGGATGAACGTGCAATGTTTACCGCTGTTGACGCCAACGCCAACATGAAACTCGATGCACGGTGCCGCGGCCGTGAAGTCACTGTGCCACACCGGGGAGGTGACTGGTGAGCGACGTCAGCGGTAGCAGAAGGGACCCCTTGCCTCGGCCACGTAGTGCCTGCCAACTTGGTACTGTCAGATAGCAATCATGGGCACACCCTGTCCACCACACCGTCCCTGCTGAGGGTTCGAGCTGGTCTTGCTGGTGGCACCCCAAACATTCGGCATGCAGTAGCACAGGAGTGCGTTCCATCAAACCCAATCGCGGCCCCTGTCGAGCTCCCACGCTGAGACAGAGACAGGCTTGACGAGCATGCAGGACAGTGCCAAAGATGGACGAGCCTCCGGGCCTCTGCTGAGTCCCTCCCTCTCTTTCTGTCGTGTTCCGCCGCCTGTCCGTGTGCAGCCGCCGACGCAGCCGCGAGCACCACCGCCCGCAGGGCAGCATACATGCGCGCAGCGCAGGAGCCGGGACAATAAGCGCCCCGTGACAGGCACGACGCACCTCCCCAACAGAATGGAAAGCCAAAGAAGCGGTTGCGTGCCATCCGTTAGCAGCCAGGCAGGCACGTACCCATTGAAAATGGACCCTTAACCGCCACGCAATCACGCCCATCGAAGTCGAGATACGAGTTTCACAGTACGTACGGTCGTGCTCAAGACAATACTCGGACGGAGCACGGGATACCTGGGGCTACCCCATCTCCACACAGTCTCGGGCTTCCGGGGGTTGCTCGCCCGCGTGAGCGACCGAGCGAGCGGGCAGTCTCGCATCCTCGCGCCCGCCCTCGCGCAAGTCCGGGCAGTGGTGCCACGCTCCTCGCGAGGTCCTCGCCCTCGTAGGGGCCTTTCGGGAGGATGGCGGGCCCAGACAACGCTGGAGGTGGGTGAGTGGGTTTGGTGGCCGCGGCGCGAGATACCCGGGGCTGAGGTACCTTTCCCGGAATACTGGAGTTGACAAGTACCGCGCGCCGGCGTACTGGCGACCTGGCGCTACTGGCTTCGCCTGTGAGTCTATCGAGGAGCGGTGTCGGAGTGCCCGTTGGCAGCCAGACACGTCTTCCGCTGGCAGCCAGTGCTGTCCTTTGCGCACAGTGCTGCCCCGCGGCGCTCGTGCCGGAGCGGGCAGACACCCAGGCAGTGCTAATAACGTCCGTGGACCTCGCTCCGCACTGTTGGGTCACGCTGGCCGCTCGTCATTTCGTCGCCTGTGGAGACGCCACCCAGTGTACGTGGCATCATTGGCCGCACAGCCTGCCTTGGCTGCAAACGGTACTGTGTGCATTCCCACGGAAAGCGAATGGCTGCGCACAGTGGGATCGGCCGTTGCATCTCGTCATCAGCCCGTTTGCAGAGGACTTCCCCACTGGCGGTCGCTACGACTGCAGATCAGGTAGCCTGCTATCGGCATCCGTGCGTCCCCAACCAAGTCGTCCTCCAGTCGAGGCCCCTGGCAAGGCCCACACTCCATACACTGTCCTCTTCCTCCGTTCTCGACCTTGCCTGGCACGGCGATGACGAATCAACTGCCCACTGTGGCAGTGGGCAGCCAGCCAGTCGCCTGCCATCGCACAGTGCCTGTCGCACGCCCTCGCCTCGAGGCCGTTGGCACGGTACGTACGGGGTACGAGATACATGGGCTCTCTCGCGCTGTCTGCCCCGGGCGCTCGACCGTTCTGTCTACCTGCCATGCTGCCCACCCAGTGACACACGCACTCACAGCCGCCCCCCTCCAGGCCCCCCGGTTCCCGCTTCTTCCCCCGTTCCATCCCATCCCATCCGCTTCTCATCACCGCCATTCCCTTCCTCAATCTTCCTTACCGTCTCCCACACACCTGTCTCTTATACACATCTAGATGTGTATAAGAGACAGGTTCCATCCCATCCCATCCGCTTCTCATCACCGCCATTCCCTTCCTCAATCTTCCTTACCGTCTCCCACACACCTCTCTCCTGTTCCTCCTTCCTGCCCTTTATTACCTACCATCTCCTTACCGTCATCCCCTTCCTCTCCTTCCGACCCCCTTCTCCTACGTCCGTATCCGTCTTCCATCCCCCTTGAGGCAAGGCCTTCTTTCTTCTCGAGCTTGCTGCTCCCTCTCGTCGTCTCCGCCACCGGCCGTTGACCGATCCGAGTCATACTCCGTACTCACCTCGGCCGTTGCAACGCTCACGACGACGATACCACCGACCCTCGCAAGCTTCAAAGCCCCGACTCACTCGCCGACTTACTCCGTACCAGTCGAGTCTCATCGAGAGAAAGAAGGATCCTTCATCGCCGCCATCACTGTCTCACCCTTTGATCCATTCGCGACCTCGCCTGCCTTCCGATCGAGTCTACAGTCACACGCGCAAGCAAGCAAGCAAGTACGCACGCACGCACGCACGCACGCCCTCAGTTCACGTCAACGCCTCTGCGGAACGACCATCAACGCTTGGACTCCGGCAACTAGAAGATAACATCACGCTGTAATTGCTCCTTGGAGGCCGTGATCAGCGCAAGCCTCGAAGGCGTCGGATTCTACATCAGTCGCTCTTCACTGGGTCGTTGGGGTTCCCCCCCGCGCGACATTGTTGACAGCAGCTACTTGTGTACTCTGATCGTCCCCGCCGCCGCTCTGCTCTGGTCGAATCTTCCTTGACCCAGGGTGAGCCTAGCTCTGCTCCGTCGGCCTCTCGAGTACGACGGGCCGCCAGTGCCTTTGCTCCCCTGTGGATCCCTGCGACGCCGCTACCTCCGACGCTACATCAGAACGCCCTGTTCGATCCCAACGGCTCCGTCCCAAGCCGTTCCTCAACGCCACCACCTGACGTTCTCCTCTCTCTCTCGGTCAACAACCAACAACGATCTCCATGTCATCATAACGATTTCCTCCTTGTCTATTCGCCTTTCGAGCCCTCTGGCTCCCAGCGCTTCCCCGCCACGACGTTTCGTTACCATTGCAATTTCCTTTGTTCGCTCTACTCAGCATTCAATCATCAAATGAGCTGTTGATTTCGCTATCGTCACTGCTCTTTGTGTCGTCGGATGCCTCACTGCCTCGACCTGTCAGAGCTTCTGTACATTTCAACGATCTGCTCTCACGCCCTAGCAACAGCTCCCTGAGTTGCTCAGTTCTGCTCGTTTTGGGTTAAGCCCTGCTGTACACACGACTTCAAAAGTTGCACCGCCTCTTTGATCTCGACGGTTGTACTTTTCGCGGCTCGGCCTAATCGATCAACTTCTCGAGTCTTGTACGACTACCTCTTGTTTTCCATCTTCACCTACGAATTTCTTTTCTTTCACCCCTTGTTCGTCATGGAATGCCTGCGAGAAAAGTTCGTTGGCGGCGTCCTCCTGGATGGCCGATTCCAAACCATTTCGCCTCTCAACCATGGCTCTTTCGGTATGGTCTTCATGGCGCAGGATCTCTTGACGAACCAGCCTGTGGCCATCAAGTGCCTCACCAAGAAGTCGGCGCCTGGTGAAGCCGGTCTCGACTTCGCCGTCGATGACAAGTCGGAAGAATACGCCCTTCACAGCAGCCTCGGCAGTCATCCCAACATTGTGAATCTCATCCATTCTTTCGAGACAGAAGCCCATGTCTATTTGGTCATGGAGTTCTGCTCGCAGGGCGACTTGTATGAGGCTATTCGGAACGGCCATGGACCTCTTCAGACCGAGCACGTCCGCCAATTCATGCTCGAACTAGTCGACGCGGTTGACTACATTCACTCGAAGGGTGTCTACCATCGCGACATCAAGCCGGAGAACATCTTCCTCACGCAGGACGGCGCTATGAAACTGGGCGACTTCGGCCTGGCCACGACTGACAAGTGGTCCTATGAGATGACTGTTGGCAGCGATCGCTACATGGCCCCTGAGCAATTCGACTCCGCCGGCGCTGGCTACTCGCCCGCAGCGGCTGACATTTGGGCCATTGGGATCTGCCTGCTCAACATTCTGTTTTCAAGGAACCCGTTCACCACTCCCACCGAGGCCGACCCTCTGTTTCTTGATTTCTCCCGCGATAAGCAGAGTCTGTTCGACGTCTTCCCGGACATGTCCCAGGATACCTACGAGGTCATCGTCCAATGCATGAATCTGGATCCCAAGAGGCGATCCCTGGTCGGCGCACGAGACGCGCTTGTGCGTGTTGTCAGTTTCACGACCGAGGACGAATCGCTTGATGACTTCTGCGGCGCCGAGAAGGCTACGGTGGCGTCTGCCAACCGTGAGCCCCTCCGCACGCCATCCATCCAGAGCCCTCATGTCGACTCTGGAGCTTTCCCTTGGGCCAAGGCTCTGCACGCCAGCCCTCATCAGGCCCGTCAACTCAGCGCCATCCCCGACGACGAAAGCTACACCGAGGACCTTTTTTCAAAGTCTGGAGAAACTGCGGACTGGTGCTCGGCTAGCATTCAGACTCCGTCCTCGTCCATGCTTGACTCTCAGCTTGGTCTCTCACTCAATTCCCTTGCCATTGGAAATTCTTCCCGGTTCCCAAAAGTCTCGCCCACAGCTGGATCACTTCCCATCAGCGTGGCGAAACCAATCACTTTGTCCATGTCGACGGTGTTCGGTCGTCGCAAGGATGCTGTGTCGAAGAGTTGGAGTGACATGTGGGAGGAAGATGAAGAGGAGGAACACGAACGGGAGATGCAGGCTCGCCAGGCACTGAACGGAAGAACTTGGAGTCACGAGAGCGGCGGTACTGAGAAGAAGGAAGAAGACAAGCGAGAGGGCGATGCCACACCTCACACTATCAAAGGCGATGTCGACGATGACCTTGTCGCAGATGGTTTCTTCTTCCACGACTCAGAAGCCGTCAAGAAAGCCTCCCCTCCCACTCCACGTTACTCGCCACCGTCGAAGCGATTCAACTTCGACAAGTGGGCAGCGCTCGGCGAGCGTCGCAGGGGCCAGAGCTTCAAGACCCATCCGGAGAAGTCGCCGGTTTTGAAGTCTGGCCGTCAAATTGGTTTTGGATATAAGTCTTATGAAGCGGGCGTTTTGGATCATTCTTATCACAACATCAACAACACAAACAAATCTTGGGGCAGAGAACGTGTCAAGGAATGCCCATGGAACAAGGGGAGAGATTGGAACTGGCGCCGAGACCGGCGATCCGATCTCGGGGACATTGAGTGGGTTGGTGGGTGGTAGAGAGTTGAGTCTCTCGTACACCTTTCCAATCGTGGTTGAGGCCGTTGTTCGGGGCTCGATGGGCAGCGATAGGACTACCAGCGACACTGGTCAGCATGATCATTTGGGGCATCACTTCGATGGTGCCGCCAGATGAAGCCAAGCTGAACTATCTTGGCTAGGTCGCTGTGTTTTAGTCGCTGTTGTGCATCGGGCATGGATTTGAGCCTCAACTCGCTTTCTGCGTATTAGATATTGTCAGAGATAGTTCACACAATACCAGAAGTTACCCACTCAACAATGGAAGTGTCCTTTTGCTCAGGACGCGTGATGTGCACACTAAGTTACAGAATTGAATTTATCGCAAGTCATTTGGATCGGCAGTAGATGCAGATATTCATGGGTTGTAGAATCTCGAGCATCGTCCGAAACGATGCCGACGAGGTCTTGGGTAGCAGGCGAGCTTGACCCCATGCTGTCTTTAGGGGGGACCTGGGAGCATCGCAAACAATCGGCGCATTGATTACCCGCTCGCTCACTTAGGCACGAACGACTGGACAAAGTCATGGTTTATACCCCTATGGACACACGGGGAAGAGAGCTAGGCAAACTGCCCTCCCCAACAAGGCCGGCACTTCTATGCGGTATCTATTCAAAAATTGACCGAAGATGACGAGTATATGAAACACGCAGCGCAAACGGGCGTGGAACCACAAACGGCGCACCTGCCCAAATGCCACCGGGCCGGGGCAACAAGGTCCAAGCACGCAAACCTAGGCGCCGACGAGGTGCTTGGGGAGAAAGGTCCAGACCGTGCCGACCAGGCCCATGACGGAGAAGAGGGCGAGGAGGACCCAGGAGGCGAGGCGCTCGCGTAGGGGTATGTCGTGCCAGAAGAGCTTGAGGTAGAAGGAGATGGGGAGGATGACGGAGATGAGGGAGCAGAGGGCGGCGCCGAGGAAGGCGCAGACCGAGTCGAAGGCCGGGAAGAGGATGGAGATGACGAGCAGGACGAGGACGACGGTGACGCGGACGAGGGCGCGAAGGGAGGTGGTGACGAGATGCGATCGGCGGGCTGCGGCGGACTGGGCGTGATGGTGGTGGTGGTGATGATGGTGATGATGGTGGGTGGCGTGCAGGCCGCATATGACGTCGGCCGTAGTGATGAGTGGGCGGGCGTTGAGGGGGATCTTGGTCAGCGGGATGATGGCGATGAAGATGCACATGAGGATGGTGAGGGCCTCTGGATAGCCCGCCGTCTTGAGGATATTGGACGTAATGGCATCCTTAATGCCGTCGCCGAACATGAGGATGCCGATGATGGCCAGACAGGTGTCGAGGACGTACTGCGGCAGCGTGTCAGTTGGTCGGCTGCGCACTCCTGCGGCGGGCAGCTTACTGAGAAGGAGAAGGTGGCATTGACGCCCTTGTTCCACTTGTGAGGGTGCCGCATGTCGCGGTAGATCTGCAACGAGCTGAAGTGAGCCAAAGAGCCATGGCGGTCTGGATGGGCCACGTGGGCACGTACCGAAGGGAACACGGAGTGAGCACCCCACGGGCTGGCCATCAGGCCGTACGCAAGTGGCAGCGACAGCCAGTTTGAAGGGAGCAGGTAGGTCGCAGCGGGCTCCCACAGCGAGCCGGGGCCGTGCTCTTTGACGAGGCCGTCGATGATGACGATGCAGACGACTAGACGGTGGGCGCGGGGGTCAGCAAGTAGCAAGTAGCAAAGCTGTGACGACGACAACGACGACGACGACGACGACGGGCAAGAAGACACGTCTGTGCAAGGACGGCGGAACTGGACATACTGCAAAAGGTGGAAAAGATGCCCACGACACTCGTGTAGCTAAGCCAGCGCAGCGGCATGGCGTTGAGGACGAGGATCAGAGCGGCGCAGACGGCCTTCCAGGTGTTGACGGTGGCGACGCCGGGCAGGAGGAGGTGCAGCGAGTCGGCGAAGAGGATGACGAGGGCGACGCAAGCGGCCACGAGCTCAAGGGTGAAGAGGGCCGAGACGACGACGCGGGCCCTGGCACCAAAGGCCACGTAGGCGAGGTCCGAGTAGGTGATGAGGCTGGCATCGAACTGCATGCAGCGGCCGAGGAGCTTGGCCGTGTGGGCGGTGACGGCGGCCGTGAGGGTCAGGAGGACCAGGCCGATGATCCAGCCGCTCATCTTGAAGGCCAGGGGCAGGCTCAGCAGGCCGACGCCGATGATGGCGTTGATGGAGTTGAAGACGGACTGGGGCAGCGTGCTCTGGCCCTCGACCGTCAGGAGTATCTTGTCGCCCTGCTTGACCTCCTTGACGAGGATGGGCTGATCCTCGCCCAGGGCCAGGGCCAGGGCCGCGTCCTCGTCTTCGACGCCGGGGCCGACACCACCGAGGCCGGCAGCGACGTCGCCGTCCCCCTCGACGCCGAGGATCCGCCACCCGCTGCCGTGGCTGAACGACGACCGCGACCGCGCCGTGCGCGTCGTGCCGAAGTGCGAGCTGCGGAAGGAGCCGTAGCTGCCGATGACGGACGGCGTCGCCAGGTGAGGCGGCACGGCGAAGATGCTGGACCGACTCGACGGCGAGCCGGCGGGCAGCGCGCCCGATGCCATTTCGGCGTCCAGGGCCTTGCCCTCGCGGTCGCGAAAGTCGCCGCTGACTGCCGACGAACCGTACCCGTACCCGCCGCCACTGGGCCCGTCTGAAGCGCCGCCAGCACCAGCAGAGCCCGGTTGCTGCGGCGGCGAGGCGCCCAGATGCTGGCCGAGCAGGCTCGTGTACGGCGTGGCGGCGACGTCGCTCACGACGCTCCTCCCGTAGTGGATGGCCTCGCCGTGGTCGTCGTCGCCGTCGCCGGCCATGACGAGGCTCGGGCGGCGGGGGATCACCTCGTGGAAGTTGGCGGCGCGCTGCCAGCTTCGGGCGAAGCTCCTGAAGCTGTTTGCGCCGCCGAAGTCGGCCATGGCGGCCAGGCGGTTGGTGACGGACGATCTATGAGGAGACTCGATTAGCCAAACGTCCCAGTGCCGAAGACGACGAGACGAAAGACGTGCCTCCTACGTTCCTGGCCCAGAATCAGCCTGCTGCCGTCCCCATGGGCCCCGTCGTCCCCATCCTCGTCGTCGTCGAGCAAGGCCTGCTCGTCGGCAAGCACGCTTGACGTCAGGCTGCCCGACGGGGACGGCCGGCCGTCGTACTCGTCCCACGACGTCGGATTCTGCGACGAGGGCGCCATCTGCAAGCAGCGCACAAGCAGAAGCAGCAGCTGCCGCGTCACCGAACCAGATCCTGTGCCTTGGCTGCCGTCGCAAAGCTAGCTGGGAGGAAACACGGTCACAGCAAACGCCGTTGAGCACGGGCCGGCTTTCTCTGTCCTTGGTTGGTTCTTTTTGCAATTGCCTCTTGTGCGCGTTCGCGTACGTCTGCGACTGGGCGGGCAATGAATGGTAGTCGGCGGATTTGGGAGCAGGGGAGAAGACGGGAGCGGGAGGGCGCTCGGCGTGCGCGACGATAGCTCAGGCCCGCACGTGAGGGGGGAGGCGATGTCGATATCACTGACTGATACGGGACAGGCCGCGAGTCGGGGCAGACGATGCGACTCTGGGCGACCGGACGAGAGCACATCCAAGTGAGTGAGCACGTGCTTGACAGAACAGACGAAGTTGTCGTGGGGTGGTTGGGAGAAAAGCGAAAGGAAACAACAAGCCCGTGCTGTTGCCGCCGCCGCCTTCGCCGCCGCCACAGTCGAAGCCGTGACGCTCCCTGGTCTTATCGCGAGCCGAGACGAGGCGCCGCGAGAAGAGGCCCAGCTGCCAGGTTTCCCTGGCCATTGACATCAACAAGCCCGCTAGCCTTCTCCGCAACGGGCCATGATTGCCCTGCTGATGCTGCTGCTAGCGACGGGTCCCCAGGGAACCCCGCCGGTGGGGTCATGGACGACAAGGTTGGGGGGCGAGCAACGGGATGGATGGATGGATGGATGGATGGATGGGGGGCGAGGCTGCTTGGTGTTTGGCGTCGGCGTCGGCGTCGGCGTCGGTGTCGGTGTTGGTTGGTGGTGGCGGCCACAGGTTAGGTACCTATGCGCGGGCAGGCGGTCTCTCCTCTGTGGCTCCTCGCGCACAGGCGGTCTGGTCCACTGGCCTTTGGCCCTGCGTCCCCCCCCACCCGCTCGCTCCAGGCTTGCCAGGCTACCTACCCGCTGCACTGGACTGTCCCGCCTGCTGGCCTGCCGCGAGCTCCAGCTGCCATCCATCCATGGATGCTGCCGCTGTTAATCGGGTGGATGGTGGCACCAGTGGACCCCTCCCTAAAACAACGAGGCTGAGGTGGATTTTTCTTTGCCTGTTTTTCTAGAACATCTAGGCCCTCCAGACGCCTCACCCAACTTCCGCTCACTCCCTGTCGCCAACACAGCACAGACAAGTCACCTACACGTTCCCATCGTCCGCCGCGCGGCAGTGGTTCCTCTTCGCCATGCCGCTGCGAGCCCGCCCGCTCGCGCAGCAAGAGCACAAGACATGATGCCTACCACCACCGCCACCGCCGCGCCGAGACCACCACCATCACCACCACCACCACCATCAGCAGCAACAGCAAAGGCCCCGGGCCCCGGTGCCACAGCGGCCCTCCTCCTCCCATCATCACCCGCGGATACCCGCGCCGCCAACACCTCCATCACCGAGACCCTCCACATCCTCGACGCCTTCAACCACCGCCACCACAACCAGCACCGCGCGACGCACTGGTGGTCCTCGTTTCGCATCCTCCGCCGTCGCCTCCAGTCCCTGCGCGATGCTCTGCTCTCCAGTGCCCGGGCCGCCCCCGCCGGGGGCCGTCAGACGACGTCTTCGTTGTCGCGCTGGCAGGCCGTCCGCCTCCGGGCCGGCTGGATGAGGACTCATGTCGTCCCCCGCGCATATATGTTCGTTCTCCCCCTTTCCTGTCCACCGCTGCCAATGCGCTCAGTATATGATCCCCGGTCACTGATGCGCCAGTGCCTTGACCCTGTGCAGTTCGTTCTCCCAGCTGGCTGCGGACAACCAACATGCTCCCCTCGGGCTGCTCCTCCTCGCCGTTCTCGGCCGCGTCGACACCGTCTTAGCCACCCTCGCGCCATCCGATGATGCAAAGACACTGCCGCCGCCGGCAGCCCAATCGTCCCGTGCCAATGTGACAACCGCACGCCCAATGCCTGCCGAGACGGAAACGGAAGCACCGCCGCCAGACCTTGGCGTCGCCGTATCCCGTCAAGATGTCCCGCGCCCTGTTAAGCGCGAGAAGCGCGCTGAAGAGAGCGCGCCCTCTGACCACACCAAGAAGCGTTCGCGGGACGTCAAATCCGAAGCCGCGGGCAGCGACACCGCGGGAAAACAACGCCAGAGCAACAAGAAGAACAAGAAGAAGAGCAAGGACGGGGGCGACGCCTTTGCCAACCTCTTTGGCTCACTGGCCTGACACGCGAGACACAAGCAAAAGACCCATCTCGTCAAATTATTAAATTTTTGGGAAAGTTGTCAGATACTCATTACAGACAAGAAACCAGACAAACCAAAGCGAAGAAAGCAGACGATTCGGCGGTGTACTCACGCCAGCCCACTCGTACCCGTACAAACAGTGTTTGGCTCGTCTCTCCATAGTCCATGCGCCTGATGTGTTTTCCTTCCTGACCTCCCGCAGGCACGGCCCGTTCAAACTAGTATCCCACAAGAGCCAAACCTGGCTTCACGGCAAACGTGACATCTTCGTCTCCCCGTGCGCCTCCCCCGATGGGCCACAATAACGGTATCTAGCACCGTAGACGCAAACCTTCATGCACCTAGAACGGGCGGTAAGACCAGATGCGAGCCTTCATGTCGCCAGAGCCCGTGGCGAAGTAGCCGCCCTGAGGGCTGGGCGCCACCGAGATGACCGAGTTCTTGTGGCCCTGGAGCATCAGCTGCGTCGTTCCAGTGCGCGGGTCCCAGAACTGGACGCCGCGGTCCTTGGAGCCCGACAGCACCCAGTTGGCGTCCGGCGTGAGCGCAACCGACAAGACAAAGTCGCGGTGGCCCTCGAACGTCTTGACGCACTTTCCGCCCTTGGGGCCTGCGTTGCCGACGCCGCGCGGAGAGCTGAGCTCCCACATCTTGATTGTTCGGTCCAGACTGCCGCTGACAAGGTCCTTGCCGTTGGGCGAGAAGGCCACCGAGTAGACAGAATCCTTGTGGCCGTCGGGACCCTCGAGGCGCTCCACCAGGAATCCCGAGTGGATGTCCCACACGCGAACGCTCTTGTCCAGAGAGCCGGCGGCAACGTATTGGGTATCGGGCGAGATGGCCACCGTCGTGACGCCGTCCTCGATGGTCAGGGTCAGCGTGTTGCTGCCCTGCTCGATGTCCCAGAGTCGCACCGTTCTGTCGCCACTGCCGGAAGCAATGGTGCGGCCGTCGCGAGCAAAGTCGAGCGAGTAGATATCCTGTTCGTGGCCCGCAAAGTGGTTGCGAATGGTTCTGGAGGCAATGTCCCAGACCTACAAGCGAGAGTCAGGGTTAGCATTTCCCAAAAAGGGTAGAGGGTTGTCCGGAAGGTTCCGTCTTACTCGAATCAGCTTGTCCTCCGCGCCAGTAGCGAGATAACGTCCGTCCGGGCTGAAGCAGACGCTCCTGATATAGAGATCGGCCTGCATGTCCTGGGCGTTGTGGTCCTCAAGAACGCAGACCTTCTCGCCAGTCTGGACGTCGAAAATCTGAGCGGATCGGTTGCAACCGGTGGCAACGTACTTGCCGTCGTGGCTGAACCTCACGCAGCACACGACGCTCTCATGAGTGAGGGAGTGGACCAGGTCCACGTCCAAGACGCGCTGGACCTGGGGGTTGAAGATGGCGTACCAGTCGCTGCCCGTCTTCTTGTTGTGGGGCGCAACCGCATCAACCTCGAGATCACCGAGCGCGTTGCCGACCGGCGGTTGCCGCGGGCCGCCCATGCGCGCGTGGTCGGTGGTCGGGTGGCTGACTTGGGGGGACTGAGCGTTTCCCGGGTAGGGCACGGGAGTGTTGATCTGGGGCGTCGCGGGGCCGACGGCGTTGGGGGGCCGGCCGACGCCTCGCCTGCCGGGTCCTGGAGATGCGGTGCTCTGGGGCGGCTGAGGTCCCATGCCGTTGGAGACGGGACCCTGCGGGTAGCCCTGCTGGTAGGGAGGCTGCTGGGCATTAGGATGCGGTGGTGGGACGGGGAGCCCAGGCGGGCCCTGAGCCATCTGGTGCTGAGGTCCTACCTGCTGCTCCTGGGGCGGAGGGTGCTGCTGGGGAGGAGCAAGCCCAGCCTGATTGCCACCGGCCATGATGCCGCTGAACAAGCCATTGCCGGGGGCAATCGAAGGAGGCTGCTGCGAGGGGCCGGCATGCTGGGGAGGCCCGGGGATAGCGGTAGGAGGAGCGCCCTTACGCGCGGCCTCCAGTTGGTGTCGAAGCATGCTGATCTCCTCCTCGTATCTGTGAAGCGAATGCCATGTGAGTAGCCTGCACGACGCCATTTGCCCAACCAAAGTAAGCTCGCGCGACAAACGTACTTTTGCTTCAAAGTCATGTGGGTCTGCTCCATGGCGTAAACCTTTTCTCTGACGAGCTGCATCTCGCTCACTTGTGCAGAAACTGGGTGGACAAGCATCAGCGGGACGTTCACAAGGGTTTGCACGGCTGCAGCCCAGGCGTGGCAGGGACCTACTCTGATGCTCAAAGTTCTCCGTCTGGCGCAGCTGGGTATCAAACTCGGCCCTGATCTGATCGAGGAGCTCGTTGAGGCGAGCGGAATTGCTGGGGGGCACGGCCCCCATGCCGCGGTGGGAATACATGGACATGGCTGTTCACTGCAGGGCGAGCAGCAGGAGACTGTTGACGAGCGTTGGGGCGGCTGGCGGCTGGCTTGCGCGCAAAGTAGGCCCTGGCCGCGAGGGAGCGGATTGGCGTTGGCGGCTCGTCGCAGTCGAGGACGGTGCGGCGAGGCTGGGCAAGGCGCTATTGATTGCTGGCAACGACGACGGCGAAAACAGCGGCGGTGATCCGGCAGGCTGAGGTTCGGCTCTCGCGTCAGGCCGCAAAGGAATCGCGTACGGTGATGGTGGCTGGGACGCCCTCGAAGAAGCTGGGCTGGGGCACGGGTCGGCGTGCACGACGATGGGTCGATGACAGGTCGCGGCGCGGAAAGCGAGAAGCGGAGCGGTTGTGCGCGAACCCTGGACCAAGTCTAGACGGTAACTATCGGCGTCGACGGGCGAAATTGCCGCCGGGGTTGCGGTCGCGGGGAATGCGAGCGGGGTGTGGAAGAATGGCGAGGTAGAGAAAGGTGAGGAATTGAGGACGCGGGCTCGCGACGGCGGTGGTGGGTGAGCGCTTTGAGGCTGGCGGTGGAGTTGGTGGGAAAGGGGAGAAAAAAAGGTGAAGAAGGGAAAGGAACGATGGAGGATGGTGGATGGCAAGGCACCCGCTGGGGATGATGGGATAGTGAGGTGGGTCCCCGCTGCCGTGGAAGCGCCTGCAGTGGAGTGGATGGAGGCTTGCATTCGGCTGCTGGCGCTGGCGCAGTGCGCACCTGGAGGCGCTGGGGGGTGGTCGGGTGGTGGTGGTGCAGGTGGTGAGGACGCGGCTGAGCAGGGTACCTACCTTACCTTGGGTAATGGCCCAAGGTAGTACCTTATGATGATGCGGTGCACCCGCCCTCAGTGCGTTCCAGGTTGCGTTAAGTTGCGCTGCACGACGCGGGCACTGCTCAAGGTGTGCTGCTGCTGTTGCTCCTGCTGCCAGGCGTGCGAGCGGGCGGGCGGGCGTGCGCGCGCATGTGTGAAGCGACTGTGGTGTGCCTGTCTCTTATACACATCTAGATGTGTATAAGAGACAGCGCATGCATCACCCATGGCACCCAACTTGAGCACCCCATCCTTCCAAGCCTCCTCCTCCTCCCAGCCCGGGAGGGTGCAGGGGCGCCGTGGCAGCATGCAGCAGGGGGCGGGGGCTAGCGTCGCTGGCTTGGATCTGTCTCTTATACACATCTAGATGTGTATAAGAGACAGCGTACACACACCCGCCCGCCGATGCCAGGCCAGGACAAGGCCGGGTCTGTGATCCGTGGTGTGGCCGCCCCGAGACCAGCAAAAAGGTAAAAGGTTCCTTCACCTTTGGCCCAGGGGGTACGAGGACACGCATGCATCACCCATGGCACCCAACTTGAGCACCCCATCCTTCCAAGCCTCCTCCTCCTCCCAGCCCGGGAGGGTGCAGGGGCGCCGTGGCAGCATGCAGCAGGGGGCGGGGGCTAGCGTCGCTGGCTTGGATGGTTGGCAGCAGCCCCGATGGTTGCGCCGGCGCAGAGGCTGAAGCTGTCTCTTATACACATCTAGATGTGTATAAGAGACAGGGGTGGGACAGCCAGCGCTGGGCGCAGGGGAGGTGGCGGGCCATGGTCCATGCTTAGCGCGGTCGGACGGTGGTGCAGCTGCTCTGTGCCACTGCCAACAGCCGGGGAGAGACATGGAGACGAGCTGCCTTGGTGGCTGCTGGTTGCTGCTTTCAGGTTTGCGCCGGACAGGCAAGACACGGACCGGGAGCCGCATCACCACAGACTCTCTCTCTTCGACAGCGTGACAGGCGCACTGGCGGCGGACCTCCGCCACATCGTCAACTGATATGCGGATTACCTAGTAGCTTGCCAACTATCATGTACCGCGAGAGCCATCTCTTGCCGTCCTTGGCAGCCCAAGGTGATGATGACATGGTGACATTTCTAAGACAACGGCAGCTAGGTCCCAGTCGGCCAAGCGCAAAGACGCCGGAGCAAAGTCAATGGTGATGGCTTCCCAGGCACCGCCCGTGGCGTGGCAACGCAGCCGTCGTTCAAGCGTGGCGTTGTGCACATTCGGCCAGCCAAACACCTGTCTGGGAATGAATGGCGTCAACCGATCCAGAAGATGTCTGTTTCCTTCTCCTCTATTCATGTACGAAGTACAGTTTTTGGAGCCATGCCCACCCAGGGCAAGATACTTGTACCTACATACACAATACGTTACCTACTGGATACCTGCCTACCTAGGTAGGTAGGTAGGTACCCATAGGCCCTGCTGCGTACTCTGTACACTCCGTACTACGAGTATGTAGGTACGTCGTGCATTCTCACCTCGGACGATACCCGTACCTTGGACAGCGGGGTTCGTTGGTCGGTCGTGCCCGGTAATATTACGCCTATGCCAACTCGCCCGGGGATTCGGGCACAGCAAACGGCGTTGGACCTGGTGGCCGACGACAAGATCAGACGGCTTGGGGACCAACATTGTTGTTGACCAGGAGCACGGACCCGGCCGACCAACGACTGGGGTGCACCAGAGGAGAGCGAGCATGCGAGCCTCACCCACGACAGTCGACCGGCTTGATATTCGCCACCATGGACGCTGTGCGACCCAAGTAGTCACTTGCGAGGCAGGCACTCGACCTCATGCAAGTCGTTGCTTTGTTGCTCGCCCGGTGCAGTTGGCCGCCTCTGGGCGACCGCTCGACCGACGGCAGCCCACACGCCACTCGTGAGTTGTATTCCGGGCATGTCTGTGTGTGTGTGCGAAGAGCAGTATGGCATGGCGTCGCATCGCATGGTGTCGCATCGCATCGTGGTCGATTACCGGCATGACCCTGCGACGCGGTCTCGCCGTGTGCGTTTGGACAAGGGCGGCGGATGAACTGCATCAGGTCGTTGGTCAATTCCAAGTCTCGCTTGATTGCTGACTCAGGCCCGCCTTCAGTCTCATGGCATGCGAGACACGTTTCATGGACGGGCTCTCGGCGGCAGCCCGGCCGGCCGTGGTTGGCGCGCAGAACAAGCCGCCTGTGCGAATTGCGCTTGCATTGGACGTTACTAAGTAATGCGCAGTGTCGCCGCGTTTCTTCACCTGTTCTACTTGGTAACCCGCTCGGAACTGTCGAAGGCACCGGTAGCGCTCGTGCCTGTAGCACAGCTCATTTGCCTTGGGCGTACGACCAAGTTGTGCTTCGCCTGGACCGTGTACGAGTACGCCGTCAGTGATTATCACCACAACCATATCCTGGCGGTTGAGTTGTGGGTGCGGCGCAGGTGCCGTGTACCCCCACATCCTCCCGCTTGGCTGGCCGAAAGAGGCTCCAGCGACGAAGCAGGAATATAGGAGTTGCGCGCCGACTTGGCATTGGGGAAACCTCGAGTCGGCAAACGCAGCGGATAAAGTCAAGTACGTTGTAAACGTCGTTTCATAGGGCTGGCGTTTCTCCCAACGAGCCGCGTCTCCCGCCTGCCACTCGGCACTTGGGCCTGGCCGACCATGAGTTGTAGACCGGTGCCCGCGGACGGCTCTTGTCACGATGGACTTGGCGACGAGATGAGACGCGGCCACGACTTTGCGTAGTCCGGGTCCGCCCCCCCCGCCACCCATGCACGGCCAGGCGTGTCCCTGGACTGGTGCGCCGCGCCATGGTGTGCCATCGCGACGACGGGCTTGTGACGAGCCGTAGACGCTTGGTCGGACAAGGGCGACAAGGGCGACAGGAGCATGTCCCCTTGGTCATGGGCGGCATCAACCGTGGCCGTGTCGACAGGTCGCGTGGTACAGGATGCAGACGCGCTGTACGCCTCATGGCCATGTGGAGCCGTCCTTTGTCGTATGCGTCGCCTCTCGCGGTACCCTCGCACGGGTGACGGGGTGTTGCCGGAGCCGACTGGCTTTGCCGTCGTGGCGTTGGGGCGAGATTGCTGGTTGTTTCGACCATGATGCAAACCCCGGGCACGCGGGAACCACTGTGGCGTGTGTGCTTCTTGTCAGGGATCGCCGCGGGCAGGCGGGTGAAGAGCCGTGCGAAGAGCCGCAAAATGACGTTCACCAAGCGCCCGCTGGTCTGGTCGAGTACGTAGGGGACGGCCGGGGATGACCATCAAGTAACGAGAGGAGGTGCGATACCTTAGGGCACGAGACGTGCGAGGGCGAGATGGCCGTCCCGGGCCAGAATGAATTGGCTGAAAGAAGCATCTACCTAGTACTGGCTGAGGACCCTTTCATTGAGGCGAGAACAAGAGGCCTGGTGTGTACCTACCTTAGGTTAGTATGGAAGGTAAGGTAGTTGTCCTTGTTAGAGGTACTTAACGTAAGGTACCCATAGTAGGTACCTTAGGTTTGTTCGTACGAGAAAGGACTCGGGAAGGAACGACGAGGCTAGATGCAGTCAATTACGCCGTTACCAGGTTCATCGTACAAGGACGTGCAGCGACGGGAGCGACTGAGGAACCTGAGGTGTCGGTCAAGACGCGTCTCCAGTTGTTTCCGACACATATCCTTTCAGCCGCCACAAGGCAGGGAGGGAGGGCTCTTTGAAACGGGTGGACGCTGGTCTGCCTCGGAATGCAGCCTCTGGGCATGCAGCGCCGTCCTGACGTGCCTGCTCTTGCACCACTCCGGCACGGCAGTCGCTGGAGCCCCTGACGAGCCCCGGTTTAGTTATCAATCAGCCCACCGCGACGCAAGTCCGCGCAGCCCAATGGCCAGCTGCAGACCAGCTCGGAGCCGGTCGGGGCTCGGGGCGGCCTGCAACATGACGCTGCAACCGGCCCAAGCCAGGTCTGGGACCTGCGCATATAAGAAGGCACGTTGGGAGGACTGGAAACAAACCACACGGGGCCCCCCTCCCAAAAAAAAAAGGAGGCTCGTCGCAACGCGCGGGTACGTGCGATGCGCCGACGAGCCAGCGGGCGGCGGCATCAGCGGATGAGCCCGAGAAGCGGCAATCCGCAGTGGACGCATCGTCGAATCATCCACGGATGCCTCCCAGCGGCAATCATGCCATTCTGCACACACGGAACGCCGTCCGGCCGGCGGGTGGGAGGGGCGCGCGGCGCCTTCTCTGCGTGCGCCATCCAAACCCATCCCACTGATCCCTCCCTCTCAGGCCAGCGGGAGCGCCGGGGACCGACACCCTTGGGCCACTAAACCGGGCGGGGCTGGCGCTTCGTTGGAGCTGGCGGCGCCGGCTGTATCGCGGATACATGGCCCGCCGTGCCACCCGCGCGGCGTGGCAAGGTCGCGTGTGGTAGCGGCGCGGGCGACCTCGTACTCGGGTTTCACGTCGCGGGCGCCCGGACTGTTTCCATTGCGGTGCAGGCGTTCTCGTCGCGAAGCGGGAGGGGGGAACCACCTGGGCTGGGCGAGGGCAATGGGCATCCGGCGCGGGCAGGCAAATGCAACAGATGCCAACTTCTATAAAACGGCGCGCCGCCCCTGTGGCTCGCCGCACGTTCGCCCGTGCTTGCATCGTCCATCAGGAGCTTCTGGAAGCATTCCGATACTCTCATCCAAGCTCGCTCTCTTCTGGTCGCCCGCGATCCCGTCGCCCAGTAGGCAGCGCAGCGGAGCCCGCCAACCGTCCGGTCCAGCGCAGTACCCCTGAAAGGAGTCGTCGTCGCCGCGCCAGACCAAAACTGCGACCGCTCCATTTTTTTTCTTCTCTGCGTCTGGTGGTCCCCCAGCCAAGTTCGCCTCTAACACCTAAAATCCGAGGGCGCGCCGATTTTACTTTAAATGCATGCCGGTCCCACTGTCCTCGAGCCTGCCCGGTGATTAAAAGTCGTCGAGTCGCTGCCCGTCGTCGTCGTTCCGTCTTACAGCAAGACTGCTGCGTTGTGCGACCTCGCGCTGCCCGTGTCCGAACGAAACAGGGTGACGCGATCCCGAAGCACCCCCTACCCAAGATTCACTTCGACGTCGCCTGCGCCGCGACACCAGCCAACCGCCGCCCCCTTGGTTGAGCCGCCGTTCCCTCTCCTGCCCCAGAGCACCTCGTGGCCGACCGCTTGCCGCGCCGCCCGCCATGGATATCGTGCTCGAGCTCACCGATACCTTCATCGCCGACTACGCCTACGCGTATTTCGCCCCTGCGCGTCCGGCCCCGTATGACTTCCCCCACGCCACCGCCGCCAATGGCTCGGCGCAGACCTTCTCGACCTGGACCTACAAGCCTGCCACCAAGTTCATCCAGGTCCAGCCATCCCAGGCCGCCTACAACACCTCGATGCCTCGCGACAGTCCGTTGCGCCAGCTCATAACCCTCTTCTGGATCACCTGGTACGTTGTCGCACAGCCTTGCAACGGCTCCTGCCCGTGTCTGACCTTCTCCCTCCAGGATCTTTGGCATCATCGTCTACTTCATCTTCGCCACTCTGTCATACTTCCTCATCTTCGACAAGCGCACCATCCACCATCCCAAGTTCATCAAGAACCAGATCTGGCTCGAGATCAAGCAGGCCAACAAGTCGATGCCCTTCATGGCCGTCTGCACCGCACCCCTTTTCCTTCTCGAAGTCCGCGGCTACGGCAAGCTCTATGACACCACCGACGAGGGGCCCGGCATGTGGTACAACATCCTCCAGTTCCCGCTCTTCCTTCTCTTTACCGACTTCTGCATCTACTGGATTCACCGCTACCTGCACCACCCGCTCATCTACAAGCACCTTCACAAGCCGCATCACAAGTGGATCATGCCCACGCCCTACGCCAGCCATGCCTTCCACCCCCTGGACGGCTTCGCCCAGTCGCTTCCCTACCACATTTTCCCCTTCATCTTCCCGCTCCAGAAGGTGGCGTACGTCTTCCTCTTTGTCTTTGTCAACTTCTGGTCCATCCTCATCCACGACGGCGAGTACCTCACCAACAACCCCGTCGTCAACGGTGCTGCCTGCCACTCGCTGCATCACTCCCGCTTCGAGGTCAACTACGGCCAATTCTTCACAGCCTTTGACCGCCTGGGCGGCACCTACAGAATGCCCGAGGCCTGGATGTTCGAGAAGGAGAAGAAGATGTCTGAGAAGCAATGGAAGAAGGAGTCTGCCACTGTCGACGAGTTTGTCAAGGAGATTGAGGGCGATGACGAGCGCACCTACGGCCCTGACCTGGCCGCCAAGAAGATGAAGTAGTCTCCTGTCCCGACACCGGACGCTTTCTACTGGGGCTCATGTTGGATCTCATTATCGCGCCCGCAAGATGCCACTCTGATCGTCAGCTGATACCGGGACACCTGGCATATCCGCCAGGCAAGTTTTAAGACGACAGCAAAAAAAAAAGACACAGCAAGCTTTCATGTACATAGATAGCATTATCAGATCCCCGGAGGAAGGCTGACCGTGGTGTCAGTACTTCAGGGCCAGAGGGTCGCGGCGTTGGCATGAGTTATGGAAACACTGAGATGACTTGTATATTTCATAGCCGGTTTGAACAGAGATGCTGACATCGCTCTTTGTCGGCTCTTAATACTAATACGCATTCCTGAACTCCGTTCTCGTCACAAAGCGCAACGCTCCATGAGACAAATACAAAATGATCTGGTAGACACGTAGGGAAAATACATCGGCCGCCACAAGAGCTAGCAAGGCTAGAACAGAAGCAAGGAAAGTAGACGACGGGCTACGCGCGCCTTCGCCAAAGAGAGTGTAAACCGAATCGACATCGGGCCATTAGGTTGCGCGAGAGCTGGCGGTAATGCGACGGTGTAATAAGGTGTTCCGCAGTAGGCCGGTGGCGCAAGGCGACCGGCAGCAACCTGAGCCGCGATCAGGAGAAGCTGACAAACTTGGGATCCCGCGGGCGCCCATCAGGGCCGATGCCGTTTTGCTTGAAGCGGCTCTCCATGTAAGCCTTGCGCGCCTGGTCAAATGTCATGCGCCTCTTCTTCATGATCTTGAGGACCTCGGCCTTGCTCGCGTCGTCCAAGCCGGCACGACTGTCGCCCGCCTCCACATTGCCGACCAGGTCAAAGTTGCTGCTGGAGAGGCCGGCCTCGATGTCGCCGGCGAAGCTGCTGGGCAGCCGCGAGTATATGTATCCTGCGCCGGGCAGGCGGATTTCGGGGATGTGATGGCGCCAGTACGCGCGGGTGAAGAAGAGAGCCGTCGCCGTGACGATGAAGAACAAAGAGAGACTGAAGAGGATGTACGCCATGGTGGAAGGACAACAACGGGGCTAGGAGGCCCGGTCAGCTGTTGTTGGGAGTGCGACAAGGAGTGCGGTCGGCGGCGAGGAGGCAAGTCGGGTCGGGATGGGACGACGCTTTTTCGACCGGGTGGCTCGGGGAGGCTTAGACGAGGCCGCCAACTAGAGCGCGCGCAGGTCCGGTTGCTTCAGACGTGGCGAGCGTCGAGCGACCCGTTCATGGCAGGCACAAAGGAGCCGCACGAGGGAGAAAGCCGAATCGTGTTGATGGGCAACTTTGGGAGCGTTGCAGATCGTCAAGGGGGGAGAAGGGTCGCGGGTGCGTCTCGGAGCCCGTTCGTTCGTTCGACAGGAGCTGACGTGCGGCTGGCGCACTTACGTGTGAGAGAGAGTGGCACAGCACTGGCGCCCGCCCGCCGCTGTTAGCAGCCAACGTGGGCCCAGTGAAGCCACCGGGCGGCCTGCGAGAGCCCGGGTACCTGGGTACCTCACGGGCGCTCAGCCACAGCTGGCCTCACCACCCCCCGTCAGGCCAGTCTTCCTCGCCGCATTCAATTAACGCCAATAGGCACTACCCGAAGCCCACGGTGCCACACTAACCGCATCGCGGCAGCTAAGCGAGCCCACACTTTGCGATTCCCAGGTCAATTTCGCGGCCCTCGAAGGACTCTCTCGGACGGACCTCGAAGCTTGAGAAGCACCTGTTTTACGGCGTCGCAAACCACCGAAATCAGTCACAATGTCCTCCCCCGCGCTCCCCAACGTTTCCTCGGACCTCATCTGGGAGATTGTCCGTGAGTCGGACCCGAACGCCCACCCGGCGCGACCCTGAAAAGCCACTGGGAGGCGACGAACGGCAATTGCTGAAACTGGGACTATGTGATAGGCAACAACAACTCCTTCCTCGTCAAGAGCAACCGCAACGGCGGCGTTCAGTTCTCCAGGGACCCCCTGAACCTGACGAACAAGAACTCTCGCAAGGTATGCGGATCATGGAGGCGAAGATGCGGTCTATGGCGGACGGCTGACTTTTGGGGTTTGCAGCATGCGGGTTTCGTCAACGACAAGGTATAACCGATCCCGACCGCGACGACATCACCACAATGAGGCGAGAGAACTAAATTTCGAACCATCCAGGCCATCGGCGTTGTCCCCAACGAGAAGGGTGGTGTCACCGTGATCAGCAAGAAGACCTCTGCTGCCACCAAGCCCGCCCAGGCTTTCACCAAGACCACCTACGGCGGCAACAAGTCCAACCGCACGTGAGTAGAAGTGTTGCCTTGACCCAACCTCCCGATAGGGGGTTCAGGCGACCGGATACTGACTTGCCACGTCAACCCAGGAGCTACAAGGCCGTTGCCAACCAGGCCGCCAAGTCCGGCTACCGAGGTGACCTGCGCTCCGCCGCCGTCGAGCGCGTTTCCGCCATCCGCCGCACCCAGCTGCCCGTCAAGCCTGAGGCCGAGCCCAAGCTGCGCGGCAACAAGGCCAAGAAGGCCGCCGAGTCGTCCTAAATGCAGACAGTTGGATGGAGGAGAGGGAAGGGCTGTGTGATGTGTGATGTCAGGGGGAGCGGGTGTAGTTGCACCGGGTAAGGATGCAAACACATGTCTAGGTGACGGTGAGGAGCATCAATCAACAGGTCTCTGGGTCATGGCTGGAGTTGGCATTTGATCTCAAAAGAAAAAAGCATATTTCGAGAACCACGGCCGCGCGCCCTGTGAGGCGTAGGAATGGAAAGGATGTCTCGTAACGACTCGCGACCCTGAAGCGCCGTGACGTCAACGGCCATTGCGTAAAGTAGTCGGTCAGAGTGCCAAGTGTTACGCCAGGTACCATATGTCAGTGACGACGCCTGAAGAGGTGTTGGACAGATGCGAGCGAGCTGTGTGCCGCGGATGATTTCGGAACCCGGAGCGGCGCGCCGCGAGGAACGGTGGATCGGAGGTGCAGCGATGCATGGCGGCGACAGCCGACGCAGGACGACACTCAACTGGTTGCACGCATTCGCATACAGGCCGAGATGCTTGTCTGCCCATGCAAGCATTATTGCTGCGCTGGTTGCGTGGCTGCGTGAGTCGTTTGTCTCGCCTTGAGGAAGGACTGCGTCGTCGAATCCACGAGTAATGACAGTCCGTGGGTCGGACCACGCGAGGGCTACGGAAGAATACCTATGGGTCTGTCTGCCTCAAAGTACATCCGTACTGTACTCGGACAATGTGCATCGGGACAAGTCGAGGACACAAACTTTCGTCGGCAATGCCCAGCCCGTGACGACCCGGCGGGACTTGCTCGACGTCGGAGCCTCGGGTGGAGGGGCAGCTCGTCATCGTCACAAGCCGGATGGATGTTGTGGTCGGGAGAGGACGGGGCGCGGGCGGCGGCGGCGGCGGCACGGGGAGCATTTGGACCACTGGGTGTTAGTACCGGGCAGCTTGACATGATGACCGACTTGGTGGGACAGGACGGGCAGTCCAGGACGTTGGGGGAACGCTACCCGGATCCACGGCGGGACCGGACCTGGCCTGGCCTGGCCTGTTGAGGGCATTGTCGTCGCGCTGCTGGGCCCTCTCAAGATTAGGTTCCAGGTTCCTGGCGGGCGAAGAGGCGAGTTTGTAGCAACAGCAGCAGCATTTGATGCCCGCGGTAGAGGCCCGACGTGCTTCAGGATGAAGACGTTACCGGGCTTCGGCGGCGTCTCGCCACTTCTGAGGCGTCAAGTGTCTGAGCTAGGCACGGAGCATGTCCATGGATGTTGAGGCTTCCAACGCCGCCCGTATTCCAGCGGCCGCCAGCCGTCTCGCAAGCCGCCCGGCTTCTGCAGCGGGCGACGGCGGGCCAACCTAGCAGCTGGACTACAGCGCAGTTAGAGCGAGTGCATGCACCTCAGTGAGTGACAGCCGCCGTTCAGGGCTGTACCTTCGATTATTAGCCTCAATCCTCCGATTGGCGGCGCGGTCACTGCCTTGCCCCTCCCTCGGCTTGCCCTCCTCCCCTCCCCTCCGGGCTGCCAGCATGCGCGCTCGCTCGCTGCTGCCCCTCCAACCCGCGCGCGGTACGGGGGACGCGGGGTTGGTGCTGGCCTGCGCTGCACTCCGTACTGCAGCGAGCAATCCAATCCAAACAGGTACCTCCACCCGCTGTGCTGCCGTCCAAGCACACCCTCGCGTCGCCCCGGAGCAAGAGCCCTTTTCTTCTGCGACGTTCTCCCGCCTCCTACCTCCTCTCTCCTCCGGTCTCAGTTCCTCGACACTCTTTCTCCTCCTCCTCCTCCTCCTCCTCCTCCTCTTCCCTCGTCTACTCTCATCCCGAGAAGCCATCACCCATCGGCATCCTAGCCTCTCCGTCCCCGTACACAACCATCGAGAGCTCCCGAGGTCTCTTCCCCCCCCCATCCATCAAAATGGTCAAAGCTGGTATGCCAGATGCTGCCCCTCAACCCCGCATTCTACCCGCGTCGTGCCTGGTGCAAAACTACTTTACTTTGCCTGCCTTGCCTCACCCAATTGCCGCGCTGACCAGCTCCGTGATGCAGTTGTTGCTGGTGCCTCTGGCGGCATTGGCCAGGTTCGTTCTCCCCAGCTGCCTCTCTATCCCTCTTCCTCTCTCTCCTCTGCTTGTTCGCCCTTTTCGGTTAGCTGACACGACGTTCCTGTCCTCCGCAGCCTCTCTCGCTGCTCCTCAAGAACAGCCACCTCATTGACGAGCTGGCCCTCTACGATGTCGTCAACACCCCCGGAGTTGCTGCCGACCTCTCGCACATCTCCTCGCCCGCGGTAAGCAGCTCAACTGAGAAGCTCGTCAACTCTTAACTGACTGTGTTGGCTCATAGAAAGTGACGGGCTACCTTCCCGCCAACGACGGCGCCAAGTCTGCTTTCAAGGATGCCGACATCATTGTCATCCCTGCTGGCATTCCCCGTATGCTACGGCCCGGAAGTGCTTCTCTACGGAGCTTTAGCTGACACACCGCTCCCTGCGTAGGCAAACCCGGCATGACCCGTGATGATCTCTTCAACATCAACGCCGGCATCGTCAAGGGCCTGATCGAGACCGCCGCCGAGGTCGCCCCCAAGGCCTTCATCCTGGTCATCTCCAACCCCGTCAACTCGACGGTCCCCATTTCCGCCGAGGTGCTCAAGGCCAAGAAGGTCTTCAACGCCCAGCGCCTGTTCGGTGTCACGACGCTCGACATCGTCCGCGCCGAGACCTTTGTCAGCGAGATCACTGGCCAGTCCGAGCCCCAGAAGCAGACCATCCCCGTCATCGGTGGTCACTCTGGCGAGACCATTGTCCCTCTCTTCAGCAAGGCCTCTCCTGCCGTCAAGATCCCCGACGACAAGTACGATGCTCTCGTCAACCGCGTCCAGTTCGGCGGTGACGAGGTTGTCAAGGCCAAGGACGGTGCTGGTTCGGCCACCCTCTCCATGGCCTATGCTGGCTTCCGGTTAGTTCACCACAGTCACTCCTCGAGTGTCCAATAGCCTCGCTCAGCCAGCTCATTCTTCTTTTAGATTTGCCGAGAAGGTCCTCCGTGCCGTCAAGGGCGAGAAGGGTCTTGTCGAGCCCAGCTACGTCTACCTTCCGGGTGTTCCCGGCGGCGAGGCCATCGCCAAGGAGACCGGCTGCGACTTCTTCTCCGTCCCCATTGAGCTCGGGGTAAGCACCTTGGACCCCCTCCTACCCGAACCCGAGCGTGCGGCTAACAATAACTTCAGCCCAACGGTGCCGAGAAGGCCACCAACCCCCTGGAGGGCATCACCGACAAGGAGAAGGCGCTTCTGCAGAAGGCTGTCGAGGGCCTCAAGGGCAACATCAAGAAGGGCATCGACTTCGCCCACAACCCTCCCCAAAAGTGAACACTTCCCCTGGTTCCCCCAAGGAGCAGTTTTGTGGGTGCAGCAAGCCTGTCTTGAAGGCAATAGCTATCATGCTAGGCTTAATATATGAATAAGGCTCGTGTTGCTGATCATGGACTCTCTCGACAGGCTGTGAAGCCGTGCCCTCGAATCCCAACCCCAAGGATCATGACTGCGGCTTGATCTATGACAGCCTCGTTATTGTTCGACTCCGGCGGTCGGGATGGCCAGGAACGGGGATTTGGTACAAGGCCACGGGACCAGTCCCGTGCGCCTGTTCGCAGGGGGCAATGGGCGATAGGCGACAGTGGCGCCGTGGATAGGATCTGGTTGTACATAGCGGATTTTCATGATTTGTTGGGTAGGGTCTTAATCTGAAACACAGCACCCGGGAGCTCGTTGATCTCTGCTTGAACGGTGGCGGTGATGCCCAAGGCCGCCAGTGCCCCTCGTACGATACCGCAGGGAAACCACAGGAACTGCGAGACCAGGTCAGCGGAATGTCGTGGCCCTGACGGGCCGTGAAGAGTCGACGCCTCTACTCACCGGCTGTGCTCGCACGACAGCCTGCCCACCGGCCTCGGTGCTCATCCTTGAGAAGGGCCGAAAGACATTGTCCGTGAGGACGTACACGCCCTGATGCCACGTGTTAGCCCTGCCAACGTTGTTCCATAGACGGCTCCTAGGCTCGGCCACGCCTGCGGCTAGGAGCGGAAAAGGAGGAGACGCGAGCGGGGGAAGCGAACCCTGTGATTTGTCTTGAGGTTGTCGATGTTCTTGCCGAACACGAGTGACCACAGGTCCTTGCAGAGGAACTTGATGACGTCGAGCGTGTCGTTGAACCGCGGGCGGTCGCGCGAGAAGCTGCTCTGAAGTCAGCAAACCAGGCCCGTGGAACAGATGTGCGTGGATTAAGGACGAAGTGCGCAATCAAGCGAGTGGGACAGAGAGAAGGGCAGAGATTTGGGCATCGGGGTTGCCTAGGGACACTCACCGCTCCACGAGGCCCTGTCCGACCCGGTACCCCAGGCTCTCGAGCCGGAAGTGCACCGCGTCCAGCTCCTCCTCCTCGTCTATCCTGCGGGGCGCGGCGGCACCCGCCGCCGGCCCGGAGACGGACGACGAGCCGCCGGCGCGGCTGTTTGCCGCAGTGGCGATGACGTTGTTCGTCAATGCCGACTCTCCCCCCGCCACAGTAGCACCTGCACCTCCTGTCGTTGCCGCCGCGCCGCCGCCGCCACCGGTAGTCGTGGAGGCGGCGGTGGCGTCGGGGACGAGGCCCTGCGAGGACGGCGACGGCGGCCGCGCAAAGTCGCACTCGTGCGTGACGCGGTACGCGAGGGGGACGAGCTCGATGAGGAGGAAGTCGAGGCACGATGTGGAGAGGAAGGTGGCGGTCGGGTCCGACGAGTTGTACGGCGGCATGACTGGGTCGAGAGACATGGCGTCTGCGTGTTTGTCTGCTTGTTCGCCCTGCGTCTATTTCTGCGTGTTCGTCTGCGTACGCCCTCTGCGTCTGCCGTTCTGTCTGCGTCTGGGCGGCGAATGCGTACGCCCCTGTCTGCCTCTGCGCACGACCGCCCTGCGTTGCGCGTTGCAATCTGAGCGCGGATCGGCGGCGTGTGTCAGGGGGACACTCGGCGTCGGCCTGCGCAAAGGTCGAGGTGCGGGCGGTAGGGGCGGGGAAGAAACCGTCGCGCGAGGAGGTGTGGTGGCCGCGGAGCGTCGTCAAAGGAGGTTGAAGCTTGGATGTGCCTGGCGTTGGCACTTAATGGCGGGAGAGCTCCTTGAGCTGGCCAGCTCGCTGACAGTGGTGCTGGTGGGGAGGCGCTGCGTGCTCCGCACCTTGGGGGCGCTTCACCCAACTTCATTCCAGGCTCGAAGTATAATAGGTACAACCTACCATGTATTCATCCTCTGCTTCTCCCCACCAACGTTCTCCGCCAACGGCGTCACCAAACGCAGTGATTATTCGACAACGGGAACTACTTTGAACATGTGCAGGAGACGACAAGCTCCATTGTGGCACTGCCTGTTCGTCAATTGCTACTCTCGAATGTCGTCACGGGACTCCCTTGGCCGTGACGTGACAAGCAGGCACTAGAGACGGCGGCACGGGTATCATGCAAAGCATGTGTGATTTATTTCCACACCTCATAGTTTTTCGGTGGAATGTGGACTATCCCACCGCATTGATCGATGCCTGCTAGGCTGCGCGACTGCTTCAACTCTCCTTCCTAGACCAAACGCCCCTCCGATGCCAATGGTAAGCCTCAACACCGGGAACAAAATCAAGGGGAATCTCTGGTTTTTCCGTCCATCTTCCAAACGCCATTGCCGTCTTGCCATGAAACGCGAAATAAAAAAGCCGCCCGTCATCCTCTCCTGGCGAGACATCAGCTCTCAGACAGCCCACCAAGTCGGTCACGAACTTATGCGGGAACCACACATTCCTCTCTTCAAGTCATTCGGTATAACACGGGGGATGCGCCGGGGAAAGCTAGGCCGTTGGGATCGCGGCCAACATTATTCACAGAGGTAGCCTGCCGCTTGTGAGGGCGCTGAATGGGCTCATCATCGTCGTCATCCGAATCTCCCGTCAGGTCAATGACGGTCGGGGCGGGGCGTTTGGCGCTGGTAGATGCGATGCCTCTAGGGCCATTGGCGGAGCTGTCTCTGCCAGAAGAGGCCGGTGTGCTGACTCTTGGCGTGGCATTCTTGGGCGTTTCGAACCGTCGGCCGACGACGCTGACCTCTGATATCTCCACGAGGTCGTCGTCGTCCAGCGAAGTCCGATTCATACCCTCAGTATGATCTTCTTGGGCCGTCTTGGTTGACCATTGGCCAGTCGGCTCAATCGTGACTGCCTCTAAGCTCTTGGGCGTCTTCTCCAGTATGTCCTTGGCATAGCTGTCAAACATGTCAGCAGGACCCCGACGCAGCACGGTGATGCCAACTTACTCATCGACGGCCAGCTGGCCAAATGGCACAGATTTGTTGCAGATGGGGCAGAGCCACTGAGGTCCCTGTTCCTGGAGCTGCAGATACGAAGTGGCATCGAAACACTGGATATGGGTGCAGCTAAGGCCACGACAGGGCGTCACGAGCCGCATGTACGACAACGGGCATTTTAGTGACAAGACCTGAGACGTAGCCACCACGTCTGGGTCTTGGGCCTTTTTGGTCACTGTATGCGATGGTCAGCCCTGTGAACGGCAAGCCACGATTAACTTGTGTACTTACACTCAGCCACAACAGACTCTCTTGGGATACGACGGCGGGTGGCAACCACGTTGACCAGTTCGTCAACGGAGACCGTCTTGCACACATAGATGGCCAGATAGTACTTCTGCGAGACAAAAATCAGTTCCATGGTGCGGACTGAAGACGAGTCGAGGGCTCACCTTTTGTGTCAATGCGTAAGTGAAATCGACCGAGTTGGTATAGGACGACCTGAGGTGAAGTTCCTTGGTTATGTCTACAGGCCTCGTTGAGCCGGGCTTGTTCTTCAAGCCACGAAGGTTTGCCTTGATGTCGACTTTGTTGACCCTCAGTTCCGACTGGTGCGGAAAGGCAACATCTTGCAGACCATGGGGGTCGCCCGCACAGAATACCATGACTCTGTACGGTGTGTTTTTGGATCCTGTGGTTCCGATGCACTGTCGAAGCACATCGTGGTCGCTGAGCCTAATGGGTACCTGGACCGTGTTCCTATGCTGCGACATGACTAGCGGCTGGTCAGCTGCAAGTGCTCCTAGGGGACACGCGTTCATAGGATAGCCTACCATCACATACGCGCACCGTGCCGATCTGTGCTTCGATCTGATAGAAAGGGCTCGATCGAAAGGCGAGAGAGGACGCTACGCCGCCGTACGGACCACCAGACGTATGGCCGTTGGCTGAACCATGATAGGCACGGTGATAGCTCTGGTTGCCGTTGAACGAGGGCATCGATGCTTGATACTGTGCAGACGTGGACGAGTTGGAGGTTCGTGAGGCGACGCTCTTTGACGAAGGGCTCCCGCGCTGTGCTGAAGCATTGAGGATGCTCTGTCGCACCTGCTGGAACCGCGAAGCGTCGTTGGCGTTTACGGTTGACTGGATGACTGTGAGGCACCGTTGAGGCGCGCTTGGTCAGCATTCTCGTTCGAGACGCGTAGCGTGAAGATGCTTCTGTACGCCGTGTACCGTGAAGAACGAGGCCGGACAAGGTTCGAAGCAGAGGCTTGAGGCCAGTCTGAGAAGAAACGAAAGGGTTTGCAGGTGCTCGCGCGGACAAGAGAGATGCAGTAAGGTGCGAAAGCGGAACAGAAACATCCCCAGAACGCGGGTGCGACGTGACCGTGGTCAAAAGTGGTGCAACGGAGCGCACGGCGCGAGGGCAGGGCGGAGGGAAGTGTGCAGCGGGCAAGTGCGAAGAGAGAGGCGTGCAAGGGAAAGGAAAGGTTGAGATGGAGAGAGCGGGCGGGGGCGGGACTCACGGTCGACGATGCGCGCCTGCAGGTCCGCCTTGACACCGGTGCTCTTCAGCCCGTTGACCTGGCAGACCGATGACAGCTGGCGGTTGAACAGGTTGTTGCCCTGCACTTGCCGTATCAGCATCGACACCTCCTGCTTGGAGATGGCCGGCACTGGTGACGCCATGGCGGCCGTTTCTTGGGCAGGCAAGAGCGGGCGAGAGCAGCACTTCTAGCAGAGGGAGCCTGCTGCGCAAGTCTGGACCTGGGGCCGCCTGGGGTGGCCCGCCGTCAACGGACGAGACCAGTGAATGGCGTCGCCGACGCTGACCTGAAGGACCGCTGCCAGACTGGCTGCAGTGCTGAGGTGCTCTGTGCCGTGCTGCAGCTACGAGCAGAGATGGCGGCGGCACTTGATGCCCCCCAGATTCTTGTCGGTCCCGCGCAGTGCAGCACAACGCAACGAAGTCTCCTCCGTCGCTTTGCCACGCACACCGAGCTCAGGAACCGCGCCCTCTCGCAGCCTCCCCGAGCCCGCCTCGACGGCGGCAACGCACGCAGCCAGACCAAGCCGAGGCTCTCTCTGCCGGCCAGGCACACGGCGTGCAGGGTGCAGCGTGCAGGGCGCTGCCAACGCGCGAGGCAAGGCGCCTTGGGCCGCTGTTCCAACCCCGGGCCGCTCGCGAGGGCAAGCAAGACGGGTCAAGCGCTCGAGGCGACAGTAACGAGGCCCAGAGGATCGTGACGCTGTATATCCGCAATATGGACTGTTCGAAAGCCGAGGATTGCGTGTCGGTAGGAGCCAGGCGGCGCACGACTCGCGACTCCGGGAGTTTCGGCGGCAGATGCGGCTGTGACAGAAACGCGGGCGCCGGGATGGGACAGGGTGCGTGTGAAGCAGCCCTCACTCCAGATGCGTGGGTATAGTAGATTCGCAAGAGTCGGCCGTCACCGGTAGAGGCCGTGCATTGTGCGTGACGCTCAAGAGCAGCGGTCGGCCGCGGGTGGTGGCAGTCGTGCGCCTTGTTCGAGGTCGCGCGAGTGGTGATTGATGAGGTAACGAAGGACTTTCGGCAGACATGAAGTCACGGACCGACAATAGGCAGCGGGCGGACTTGGTCGAGGCGACGGCGGGTCCCCGGGGG